GCAGTCTCTCTGCCCCCTCCCCCGCTCGCCCTCCCCGTTCTCTCCGGCCTCCCGTCGCCGACCCTGGGTTCCGGCATCTTTCCGACACGTGGCTCTCCGATGGTGGCGACTCTAGCGAGACCGGACGGCTCCATCTGGAAGACGTTGCAGCAACTAGAGTGGTCCACCGAAGATATGGCGGACACCTTTGGGCGCTCCTCGGTTGCCGTCCACCTGGCGGAACGGCATGACGGCGAGCATGCGTGAGGGCAGGGGCCAATGAGTGTAACTTATTACTGGGGCTCGCGTGTTGTGTGCAAATAGAAAGAGTAGTTCAAACGGCTTTGTGTGATGATCTGAAGAGTGTGTGTGCGTTTAGCTAGGACGGAATAGGTTGACAGCCATGATACGCGGGATCAGGCGGGAGCCCAGGCTTGGATCAGTGCTCCACTGAACAAGCCTATCCTTGAGGGTACAACTGCCACAGCTGATTTAGATAAAGTCAGGTGAACGACGAAGTTGTTGGACACATTGACGCCCAGCATCTCGTATCTGATGCAATCGTCACGTTTGGTTTCCAAGTTTTAATATTGTAGAGAGAGGAGACCGTCGTGTTGGCGGCCATGCCCTTGCAGGAACTGTGAGGTTTCTCAGGACAATACCGAAAAGACCTGAATGTATAGCACGTGATGTAGACCCTGAGAACTTCCTACTTCGTTACTTATACAGATAACAATGATCTATCAACACCTACATGACGGTCAGTGACTGACAATTCGAAGCTTTCAAGAAACTGTTCGATCAAGCCGATTGGCTGCAAATTATCCATGCATCTGGAAATTAACGGTGTCGTGCATAAGTATGTACTTAGTATATATACGCGTCAATCAATGGTGCATGAGTTCTCGCCGCCGCCGCCGGCGACGGTCACATATCGACGTACGTATATGTGCTCCGATTCGACCTGGCACGTATACTAATGAACACATGCATGCTGCCATCTTTATTCCGGCATAATCAGAACTTCACGACCACGTACGTCTAGCTATCATAGTATAGCTTCAATATCTTATCAGTTCCGCTTAAATGCGGCTTAAATCGTGCCATGCCATGGCAGCTAGGGACTGTTGTGACTCGTGCAGCATGCGTATATGGATATTCTCCATAGTTGCCCAGTGATCCTGATACCTTTCTGCCGCTCGCACCGTCCAACGACTAACGTAAGCTCTCTAGTACGGTTGGTTGATACGAAGCATGGAGCCTGCACGAAGCCGGCGCAGGCTTACCTATAAACTTCGCGATCCGGATGTTTATATCACCATTGTGCATTTCAAACCCAGAGACACGAATGCAGCTATAGTGACGGGCCCAATCAAGCCTTCTGCTTGAGTGAGCCTGCCATGCATAGTGCGGCTTAAAAAGTACGTGATATGTTCACGGCCGCCGCCTCCACGTGAAGGCCAACACATATTCGCACGTAGCTGAGCCAGCACAGGCTGGGGGCAAGAATCACGACATACTACAGCATGCACAGCCCTCGATTCAGGATCACCAGGATCAGTGGCAGTGGTTTTGTTGCTTCTGATTGGACGAAGAGAGTAAGGATTTATTGCTGAGTCAGATATTGTACTTCGATGTTCCCGCCAGTTGTCAACAGGACCATGACAGCCTGGCATCAGGCCAACACTTATTCTTAAGTAGCTTGGGTTACAGCAGACTGCGGAGGTTTGATCTCAGGAACTGCAAGCCTGAAGCTGGGACTTCAAATTCACAAGCTGTTGCTTTTCTGTGACGCCGCGGTGAACTTGAAACTGCTGAAGAAGCGCAAGGTGGAGGAGCTTGGCGCAGCAGAAGTTACTTCGTCACCAACGGCAAAGCGGAGCTTTAGAAGGACTTCATCGCGTGGCCCTTCTTCGTGTCGAAGCTATGGCGCTGTCCGCGCTGCCCAAGGATGTCCTCCACATCATTCTGAAGAAGATCAGTCTGAAGGATCGCCTCCGCTTGGAGCTGCTCGACCAGAGCCATCTCGAGACATTCAGAGACCCAGAGCTTTGGCTAGACGTAAACCTTGGCGCCATGCAAGCATTGGATCTCACAGAACAAGAGCTACTCTGCCTTTTGTCGAGGGTCGAGCCTAAATTAAAGCAGGCTGTGAGTCAGATTGACAGCATGGCGGAGATCCTGAAGGACTTGTCCCATGACGTTATGAAGCAGACTCCCAACCCGCTCAGGGACCGGTTGGAAGAGGAGAAGCTTGATCCAACGCACTTTTTCACAATGTTTCTTTGGCTTGTTGTACGAAGCTTGGCGCAGCTTCATCAGATGTTCCCTGAGACCTGCGGACCTTTTCAGGTCAAGTTCTACATTGATAAAATCTCCCTCTGGTTCAGCGAACAAGTCCAGCGTCTTCCGCGCGTTTTGAAGCTGGTCTTATATTCAATTCGCTCGGCCGTCCAAAATCTGCTCAAAGCTCCGATCGCCTTCTCGAAGGGGCTGGTTGCCGGCATATGCAAGACGCGGAAGGGGACTCCCGAGAGAAGCTCCGGAAAGTTAGCTGTCAGTCTTGATTTATCAGGAGCTGCCAATGTGTCGCCCCAGTTTCTAGCAGCCTGCGTCATCGGACTCTCAGGAGCAGGTTTCAAGGTTGACTGCAAGATGGACGGCCGAAATGATCCTCTCTTCCCGCTCAAGTACCTTGAGCTCCTACAGATCCTGGCATTCGACTGCTCAATTCAGGTGAACCTGCTGTTGTCTGGCTTGCAGTATCTTTGGGATCATCCCTCTCTGAAGGACTTCAACCCCTTTGGGAGCCGGCCTGACCAAGGAAAGCAAGCGCCAGTTGATTCCATGAATTCTCTGCTTGAGACCATGCTAGAACATTCGCTCTTTGAGTTCCATAAGTCGAAGGCAGCTTACCTCCAGTTCCTAGACAGGGTCCTGATGCTCATACGACGCCGAGGTGACGTTGAAAATTTGACAGACAGGAGGCACATGCTGAGCGAGGGCTGGACTAAGGCCAAAATAGCGACCCCGACTGTTATGTTTGAGAATCTTGTCATTGGTGATGACCAGAGTCAGGTCTACGACGAACTTCGAGGGTTTCTCCAGGAATCGCCTTCCAAGCTGCGCATCGTCTTTAGTAACTGCCTGCTTCCTCCATCGACGGTCCGCTGCCTCTGCAAGCTGCTGGGAGAGTGTGGTGCCGGCTTCGTTTCCTTCCGGCAAGCGGACAGTCCCTTCGACAGAATGAGCAACCCGCAGTCTGAGGATGCAGTTTTGGAATGCGAGGCGCTGCAGAAGAGCAAGAATCTTCAAGCCCTGGAGCTCGATTTTCCGTTGATGCCGATGGATGTCGACTCAGCCGCGAGATTCTTGGATGTGAGCGGAAACTCAGCCACGCTCGTACTCCATCTGAGGACGGAGTTCTACAGGGGCGAACCAGAACTGGCACAGCAGGTTGTCTTGCGGCTTCAGGCTCTGTGCGCTTCGGAGAGGGGCCACCGGGTGACGCTCGTGCAGCATTGGAGGCCCTCGCGACTGTTTTGGTCGGACACACAAGAGAGAGAGGAGAGTGGGGGCGGTCTGAGCGACGCAGTCTTCCTATCAACCGTCGAGCAGGAGAGGGAGACCAATCTCCGGTGCAAGAGGTGGACTTTGCGCGTGATGAGCGTTGTGCGTGCGTGGTCTTTGCTGGACGTTGCGCTTGCTCCAGCGGCCTTCTTCGACGTCAAGCTCTTCGGCTACAGGGTGCAGTCAAGCATTGGAGTGGTTGGCTTTTCGGTGCCGACAGCAGTGGTGCTTCTGTGGAGCCCGCTCCAGCACGCAATGGTACAAGGACACGATTGGGACTGGACTGCCATCAGTTTTGGTTTGTGCATCACCGGTATCGTACCGTTCTCTTTCCTCGTGTTCGCATTCAAGGCCTTCTCAAGCTACATGGGAGCATGCCTGTTGTGGTCCGGGGGACGGCAGATCTGCAGAGTAGCTGTGAGTCTCTTCCATACGCTCAAGGGAAAGGTTTCGCAAGTCAGGGCGCAATAGAACTGGTAGTCCAAAGAAAGGACTAGAAGCTGATTGACTCTGCTTTCTCAAAATAAGTTCGTGTTCACCTGTGAATAAGGATTTCGAGGAGAGCTGCTAGACCGCTGTGATGAGGATATGAAAACGTACGGTTGAGAGAGGAACTTTCGTGCGTACACCCCTTTGTTGGCCGCTGAATCTAGTCTCGTGCACATTTATTCGCGAATTTTGTGCTCCAGACTTATCCTTCGGATCATATGATCATACTATTGTATTTTGCAACTCGTCATGGGTGACTTCAATCTGGGGACTGCTTCGGTGATCGATCGTCAACCTGACATGTTCACTCAGGACTGAGGGCTGGCGGCGGCTAACTTTCGACTCGCGCATGATTTGAGATATTCTGCATAATTAACAGTGAGTCATGCCCGATTAAATTGTGAAGGCGGCTTCATTTTGTCCCAGAGACATTCAAGCTTAAGTATTCTGAACAACGGACTCACTTATTATGCAGGCCGGGCATGAATCTTTAGTAGTACATATAGTATACTACATACAGGAGGCCGCCCAGCATTCATTGCATAATACGGGTCACCATATGCTGAGTGGCGCGCGCGGCGACCAACGTTATACGTAATTCCGTTGCAACTGAAGTTGAACAGGACTAGCTGACTTAGGTCGCAGCTAGCATGCTGCACATGGTTTGAATACATTCGATCGAGTCCCCGGTCTGATTCCAAAGCGATCAGGACCGTCACTCCGACGAGAACACCTGCATGGATACATATGGTGCAAGTGCATGGGCAGCCGGCCAGGCATGAGGGTTTGCATGTCATGTCTGATCTGCACAACATTCTGCATGCCTCCCAATGATGCACTGATAGATATCACGAGCTAAGTGCAACACATGCAGTCCGGCGTGACTGGCAGCTTGGATTGGAATTAATGCTTGGACGTACATGAGTGCAGCCTACCCGGTGCTAAATAGGCTCAATCGTGCGACGGCGTCTGCTGGTGATCAGTTGGCAGTGAAGATTCCATTATTGAGACGCGGCCGGGCCTAGGCGGGCACGTCAGTGTGCCGCATGATGCCGAAGCCAGAGTTAAGTGTTACAACCTTCGCTCGGTTAACTCATCGTATCAGTGGTCGTACACAAATCTAAGCCGGCTGCTCGTAAAGGCCTGACTTCAAACAAACGAGCGAGTCTCTTGAACCGAAAAATAAAGGGCCTCGTACCTGCGCCTCACCACATTTGCGTCACAGGCCTTCGAATGTGAGTCTACTCACTTGTTACTTTCTTTTTGCAAGTCCTTGTGGAAGTCTTTCTGCAGCACACAATAAAAGCATTCATCAGGGTTGAGCCAATGCTGGAGTCATTAACCTGCGACCAAAGAAGGAAGAGTGGGAGGACATATGCACCGAGGAGTCGTGCTCTCATGAACGGACATTCATCAAGAAGGGCTTCCAAGCTGCGGCCACACGTGTAGGATACAAACGAGCCCCCCAAGGGCACTTCAACAGATAGGGCCAGTAGATGGTGACAGAGAGATTATTGCTGGTGAGACTCGCCAGAAACACCAATGGGAGAGGCTCCGCTTTTCTGGAGGCTCGGTCGGATGGAAAACGGTAAGCCTATCAACTCGCGACATAGTAATGCGTCTGAAGCTCAAGACGATGTAAGCTGTGTTGCAGACAGACAACTGATGCGCACACGCGGGTCATTGGGCAACGGTCGTTTTGTGATAGATCACGCAAAAGTGTCATGGTTTCGAAGTTACCTTTTTGCATCCGAAGGGAGAAAGGAAGGAGATGACCGTGAGCGCTACATCCTTTCGCGCCTTTCGCTACCCGGGCAGCTACCAAGCATACCCTAAACCCCGGGCTGCCCGTAACAGACCCCTTACACGACAACCTTGAAACTGAGGGAAAAGGCGGATGACTCTTACTGCGGTGGACGTTTTGAGCAGTTCCCGGATGGCCATGGTCGCGTAGCACGACGACGGCAGCGTCATCTTGATCTGTAGCGCCAGGTGCGGGCCCAGAGCAGGGTCCGCGTGTTTGGAACCAGGCCCGCGCTGCGCCTCTGCCCTCTCGGCACCGACGTCCTCTTTCTTGACCATGTCCGACAACTCCGTAGCCTTCGGAGCTGTGCTGGGCTCCTCAGCACTGTCGCGTTCCGCCCGTGCCGACACTGTTTCCGGCATTGCGGCAGCTTCCCTGGCGCCGTTTCCTGCTTCCGGTTTACCCTCTTCGCGCCCGCCTATTCGTGCGGCGCTATCGATACGCTTCCCTTCCTCTTCCGAACTTGGTGCAAGCCCTCTGGTCGATGCAGCCCCCTCTTGCTCGCTTGCGATCCCCCCTCGAACTACGACGAATGAGTTTCGTAGGGCAGTCAACACGTCGGTCTGTTCATTTGCGGCTTGCCCGCTCTCGGACGCTTTGTTCTGCCTAAAGCGCCCTAACCACGTCGGGGCGTTTGGCTGGGCGGCGATGCGGTCAATGGCGGTGGGCCACAGAGGCTGGTCGGGGTCCGAGTAGCGGATGAGCTGCCTGTGGGGGGAATCGTAGAGGTAAGTCAATCATTGGACGTGAGTCAACCAATAAAGATAAGTCGAACGACAAAGCTAAATCGACTGTGCTCAGGGGCGGGAGTTAGACGAGACGGGATTCCATATTGGGGCCTTGATTGATTGGGTAGTTGCCCGAGTGGCCGCATCGAGAGCACAGCGTTTTACTCGCCGAGATTCTCAGCGAATCAATGACAAGTCTGACGCAGGAGACATTTGACACGTTTCTACATCGCCGCTAGATTGATTCAGACAGCCGTGGCTTTGCTCTGTAGTTGCTCGAAGCAAGTCATCCATCTCTTGAAGCCCTCAATACTTTGCGAAGGGGCATCTGTATTTCCCTGCTTTCCCTTCGCTCACCACTCCAGGTCGCGGGGCTTCTGCAGCAGCTTGCGGTACCCCCCCGTGAGATACGCAATTGAGTACTCTTTGACATTGTGCGTGCACTTCTGCAGATTCACCCCGTGCTGTGCTGCCACGTCGCGGTATACGTCAGCCGTCTCGTGCTGCGGATACTGCGTCGCGCCTCCCGGCAGTGGCAGCAACACGTCCGCGATGTTGTACGCGCCAGCCTCAGCCTCTTCCTTGCTCACGTGCTGCAGGGAAAGAAGTCAGCGGAGTGAGGAAGCGACTACACGCATGCCAAGAAGGGCACTGCGTCGAACTGCTCGGCAGCGATAGTGAGACGTCCGCAATGCTACACGCCCCGGCCTCAGTCTCTTCCTGAGTCACGTGCTGCAGGCGAGGGGTCAAGGCAGTGAGGGGAGGTCAAGGGAGAGAGGGGAAGGAAGAGAAACGAGGGGGAGTCAAGGAAGACTGAGAAACTCAAGGGAGAGAGGCTGTGAGGGTGTGAGACGAACGAGGGTGTGTCATAGTGGCAGGAAGATGAGATAAGGTGGCACAGTCGGTGGTTTTGGGAGAGGGAGAATGCTCGACGAATTGTGCAAGCATGGAGCTGTCTGAAGCTGTCAGGCGTAATAGCAGGAGTCATGGACTTCCATTACAGGGACAACGACGAGTCGAAGGCGCAGACAACCGTGAATTACGGGAGAAGGAAGACCTCATCACAATGGACCTGGCCGAGCCAGTCATGTGGCAATCCAAGAGACGAAGGCTATCAAGTATACCCGCCCATCACGCCGGGCTCGACACATGTGGCTTTGTGTTCGCCTGTTCGGTAACAAGGAAGGAGCACCGACGAGCTTCAGGGACGCCACACTTTACGCACGCGTCAGCATGTTTTCCATGCAACACCTACTTCTGCCGTGAAAGTCAAGGAAGCGCTGTTGAGTGGTAGGCTCCGTTACCTTGACCCTGTGGCTGGCCGGCACGTCCGCATCCACGGTGTCTTCCGCTACAGCATCCCCCTCGGGGCTGGGATCGCTAGCCGGGGCGACCGCGCCCTGCTCGCTCTCGAACACGAGGTCGCCCTCCACCGCACGCTCGGCCCCTGGGAACAGAAAGCGGACGTCAGAGAAGTTGCTTTTCAGGACTTGCAGGACAGTACGCGATGCAAGAATCACTCAAGAAAGAGAGGCACAGAGGTGACCCGATGAACTTCCCTAAAAGTAGGTTCCTCCCAGGGTATCGTACTTCTTGCACGATTCTGAAACGAAAGGAACCAGGGCAGCCGGAGCTGAGCGGTGAATCCGGCCAATTTCTGAACGAAGCATCACTCGATCGGGAACCTCTGGAGTGCAGTCGCCGATCAACCACCCTGCAAGCGTCAGTAAGAGGCTTTTTGAAAGAACGATCCGCCTTGCAAGGAAGGCCAAGGTCGTGGAAAGGACGAGTTACCGTCAGTCGTTCAAGGAACGTTTCCGTTTAATCCGCCGGTGCGAGCTCACCATAGAGCATGATGCGGTGCGTGGCGGCATGGTTCCACAGGAAGCTCTGATACGCGTGCACGTACCTGCAAGCAAAAAGGGCAGCGTCAGGCGCAAGAACCGCAGGCCAGACTGTGAACTTCCAGTCTTCGCGCAAAGCACTTTAAGGCGGAATTTCAGAAAGGCTTGTCGCTTCTTCACTGTCAGGACGGATGCAAGCGGACGTTGATTTACGTCAGCCTTCTGAAAAAGACTCTAGATCGATAGTCGATCAAAGAGTCAAAGACCACTGGGCACACCCCGTGGCATCCACGCTCTCTCATCTTGAACGCACCTCTGTATTACTTAAGAAACGAGCACCTGGTCACGTCTTTATTGAAAGCTTGTAAACATACAAGCTTCTCGCACAATGACAAGCTGTATTCCTTCTCTCATTTAAGCTGAAGCCGAAGTATCTGGCGAGAACCCGGGTGCAGGACAGGTCAGATGCGAACACAAGCATAGCCCTACACCGCCAGGAATATCAACTCCGCTTGCATCATAGTCTCTCATTCTATATGCTCGTCACACAGACTCAAAATCTTTCACTCACATCATCCTCAACGTCCTGGGTATACACGCGAGCGCCCCAACCCAGTCGTGCGGCGCCGTTCTCAGCCGCTGCAGCAGGCTCCTCTCCGCGTTCATGTAGTGCGGCATCCGCGCCAGCGTGCCCCCCGCGTCTCGTGTCCGGGCAAAGTAGGCCCGCGCGGCCGCGGCGTCGGCCCGCTCCTCGGCGCGCGGTCGGAGCAGCAGATCGACGGCCGCTTGGAAGGAGCCCTTCAGCAGCGCCGCGCCCACCTCGTGCGTGCGCACACTGCCCGTGCCAAAGCGCTGCGGGGCAGAAAAGGGAAAATGTCACCGAAGTCACAAGGTATCCTCCTGGCAAAGCTGATGAGATCGTGCTCGAGCCCACAAACGATACCAGATGCTACTGATTTCGTCTGGACAAACTTGTGTGTCGGTTCTTTCGTCGCTGGGCGCCTGTTCTTCTGACTGCCTCACAATCTCGTCTCCAAGTGTCTGCGACCGACTTCCTTATCCAAAACAAAAAACAGACCATCCTGTGCCAGCGTAACGGGCACAAGACTTAATTTTCTCTGCTTACGGAGCTGTGGATCTGAGTCCGTGGATTGGATAAGCACCACCCAAGTAGACCTCAAATGAACGCGCAGCGGCTGACCTGTAGGCCGAAGTAGTTGATGAAGCCGTGCTGTTGCAAGGCCTGCGCTGCAGCCACGGCGTGCTCCTGGCTCTCGAGGGGCACACTCCGCAGCGTGATTGCAAACTGATTCCCGCTCAGCTGACCCAGCGACAGGCCCTCCGGTACATACCTGATGGAAACAAAGGCGCCCACGTTACCATTCAATACTTCCGGAATTTGACCTACACTTTCGAGGAAGCAAATGGGAACCACCACAAAAGTGAACACAGATTGGTCCGGCCGCATGAGGTCGTGATCGAGGGGCTGATAGCAAAAGAGGCCACAAGCAGAGGTTCCAAACAAGATAGGTTCAGGCCCTGATAGATAGTGGTCCGGTCAACTTCGCATACTCATAAATTAGACACAGGCTCCCTTAACACCCGTTTCAGCTTGACGAAAAACCAAAGGAACAACGATTGTCGAGTGTCACGCCAGTTCCATCCAGGGCATCTGAAAGGAAGACTGTTCAGGAGCACACTCAATGAGGACATGATGAAGCTTGAACCAGCTAGCAGTCGAAAAAATAGTTCAGCATGACGTCAGCTCACGTGAAGTTGCCCAGCTGGATGGAGAAAAGGCGCGGGTTGAGCAATGCCAGCCTCTCCGCGGTGACCCTGTGCAGCGTCACGTGCTGCACCGTGACGCCCCGCTTATCCTTCGTCCCCGCATACCCAAACGCTTTCGGCAGCACGCCTAACATCTTCCCAATCAGGCCCATCGCCTCGTGGCTGTCTTTATTTTCCTTGTACAGCGTAAAGCGCACGTGCTTCGGCCGTTCCTTCGGCCACCCACTCTGCCCTCGGCTGTCCAGCGGAACGTCGTCGGCCTTTTGCCGTTTGTCCCCGCTTCCCGACCCGTCCTCGTTGCGGCGCTTGCGGCCACGCTTGTCAGCTTCGCCGGCCTTCTTCCACTTCTTGTTGAGGTAGACGCGAACGCTCTTCTGAGACACCTCGTTGGGGACCTTGCCGTCGGAGGGGGCGAAGCAGCGCGCGCCCTTGAAGTCGACTGGCATAAGGAGGACAGGATTCAGAAGAGAATCCAAGTCAAATGCTGAAAGTGAGCAGTTGTTCGCCCAGATTGGCGAGGCAGCAGGCTGAACGTGAGCCACCTTCCATCGTAAGCCATCAGGTTTCTCACACTTCATACGACTCTGAAGACGTGCACTCAGATATCCAGCTGTCAGTGAGATCTACATCAGCGAGGGTATAGATCGACTTGTAAAATTTAGTTTTTTGAGTGGTTCCGAGTGGATAGCTGCACGACCTTGGCATGAACCGCTGACGACCTCTTCAACATTCTCTGTTGCCCAACACGTGCCCCACCCAGCCCCTCCTCTGACCCCTTCGCAAACTTCCAGCGGGCGGAGCGTCTCTCACCAGTATCTGTGACCAACATGGGCAGCCGCGTTTTGAAGAAGTTGTGCACGGATGTACGGTGCGCCTTGTCCCCATCCGGCTGCAGCACAAGTGGCTCCACCGCCTGCCCCGCCCCCACCGCCCGCAGCAGCGCCTCAAGTTTCCCCGCGTCTAGTTCCCCCGCAAGCTCCCGGAATGCTGCCACCGCTGTTGAGACCTCGTCTTCGGGGGCCTTCTCTTCGTCACCGTTAGTCTGGGCGACCGCTGTTGCATCTTTCTCAATTTCAGCACTCGCTGATGGAACAGTCTGTGGGGGCTTTGCGCTGTCGGATGGGGCGGGTGCGGACGGTAGGAGTGCGTCAGTCTTTGCTGAATCTGAGGGCGGGCCTGTGGTTGCTACTGGAGGCACCGGACTTTGGCGCCCAAAGTCAGTGGGCAAGAGCAGGTCCTTCGCATCTGGGGCTGCTACCACCTGCAGACGTCAGGCAGACGTCAGGCGTGAAGTGCAATGGCTCAGTTGCTTGAAGCTTTCTAGCTGCTCAGAGCATTAGCGTAGAGAAAAGAGTACGGTTCTCCAACCTCGGTTCGAGCACCATATTGCAGCTTCTTACCTTCAAAGATCCTAAGGCTTCTTGACGTTTTGAAGCATGATTTCAAACAAAGCCATCGCAGAGTTGTCTACATCACAAAAGACAGCAGTCTCACAAGAACATTGTGTGAGGATCAAACTGACGTCTTTTGTAGAACTTCACATACCTCTTTTGGAGCCCGGAGGTCTGTCAGTCGCACCACATTCCCTTCCAGATCCACCTCATTTACACAAAAATCGGCATATCTGCAGGTGGAAGTGAACACTCAGACTTGAGTTGCCAGCTCCATAGACGGCAGCCAATGGAGTGGTGGTGCAATAAGGAAATGGAGCCTGCTTCAAGCATGGCCCCCAGAAATGCCCCCCAAGGTGACATCTGGTATGAAAGAGGTCAGTCGGAGTCATTGCCATCATCAGAGACCAGTTGACCGCTAAGACACAACCACCACCGGGTATGCCATCCAAAGAGTAAACCGCATAGGTTTCTGTGCGTACGGTGGTGGTTTGCTTCCGCCTCACCTGTGTTTCAGAACGCCGCTAAAGCCTGGGACATCGTTCACAAAGCACTGAATGCCAAGGACCTCCTCCGCCATCTCTCGTTCAGCCGTCTTGCCGAGACTCAAAAATTCTGAGCACAAACTTCTCCTTAGCAAGGTCTGAATGTGGCCTCGAAACAGGCCAAGGCGCATTCTATCTTGAACTTTGCTGAAGAGCGCCACCCTTGCACCACCACCTGCTGGCTCCTCGACTTTTTTGTCTAGATAGCACAAACACAACGCAACGCTGGTGCCACTGCTAACCTGGTTCTGATCTCTGTCAAGCTTGTATATAAGGGTACCGTCATTTTGTAACTGGTACCCCCCCATTAATTCTATCGACCATTTTTCAAGGGGGTGTTTTCCTAAGGCCCAGGGGGGCCTCGGCTTCGCCGAGGGGTCCCAAGCCCCCCCCCCCCTTTCACCCGGCGGCATAAGGGGGTCGTCCGGCCAAAAGTAAACGCAAGTTTTTGCAAGGGCTTTCATAGGGCTTTTTTGGAAAAATCCGCATATTCCGCTAAGTTCTTGCACGCTGTAGAGCCGCGCAGGGCCGCTTTTCAGCATATTCGGCCCATTTTGGGGCAACCTTCGTACGAATATGATCAAGATATGTGAACAAAGTCTGTTTATAAGGGGCTAAATGGAAACTTTAGAGACTGAAGGTCCTGGACTCTTGGGGGTCCTCGGTGGTACCCCCCAGGGACCCTCACTCTCAAAAACTGCGCTGGGTCCCCCCCCCCTCCGACCATGGTTCTGCATCTCGGTCCAGGGCCCCCCACCCCCATAGAATTATGGGGGGGTACCACTTACAAAATGACTCTACCCTAAGGTAACCGCAATTCATAAAACCCGGGTCGCTGGCCTACGCGCTGGCTGCCAAGCTCAGTACCGTTTCACGAACGGTTTACTCTAACCAACTATAACCACATTTATGATTTAAGCCAGGGACATTTTAGGGTTTGCGCCTACCATTGGCATTGGATGATGATGGACCATGGAAAAGTATTAGCAGTGCAAAGGCAAGCTAGACAGGACAATAATAGACGCGTCTGATCTGTAGGGCTTAGCCCTCTGCCATTGAAGGGCGCCCATCCACTCCAACAACACATCTGGTGGGAAGATTGTAAGTTGGAGGTCTAGCGACGCGGTGTTCCTTGAAACGTCCTTGCGCCTAACACCGTGAGCCTGGGGTTGCAGATGGCTGAACCGCCACCTTTCCAGCAAGCTGCAAATTGTGCCATCTGTAATTGCACATTTGGCACGTTCAGGCGCAAGGTGAGGGTGCACAGACTAATTGAAGCCTTCAATTCGTCTCAGATATCCTGGGTCAGCCGGTGACTGCGCTTACTTTTGAATTTGCTGATGAGCTTTTCCTTGTTAAGGTATAGGGTGTTAGATGAATGAGGTATTTGTTGGGGACATTGCTGGTGGTTGGTCCTTGGTCTCTTTCATTGCTCAGCTTACATATGCAAGGCGATCGTAGCATGGCTAGCTGAATATGTTCCATTTTTGCTTCCTCTAAACCCGCCCTTTCCTTTCTTCATGTAGCATCACTGCCGCGAGTGTGGTCGAACAGTCTGCGCGGAGCATGGGAGCAAAAGTAAAGTGAGCCTTCTGACCTTCATAACAATGAGTGTAATCAGGAAGTATCAGCCCATTCTTGAATTGTTCTTGGAGCTTGATTGGCTGAGTAGATCAGTGTCCACAACAGACTTGCTCTCTGGATAGTGGCACTGCATACAGCGATCATAAGCGAAAGACTAACGCGTACCTATTTGTCTTTCTATGTGAATCGGGGCGTTGTTTCATTGCAAATGTCTCTGGTTTTGTACTCGTCTTGCTGTTGCTCTTCTACAAAACCTTTCAGTGTGAAACGTGGGTAACCCTGGCTGCAGGCTGTACCTCAGTTCAATTTGAACACCCCAGTCCGTGTCTGCGATGAGTGCTATGACAAGAAAAGGTACGAAAGTTTCTTTGAGTCTGAAGTGTTGGCTTGCATCGTAGTTGCTGGAGCTGCCAGCATGTCAATTGTTGAGAGGCAGTTTGGGGAAGGGATGTACTTTTTACCAGGTTAAAGGTTGCTGCAAGAAGAATGAAAAGGCTTTCTTGATGAATGTCGTGTTCGCCTACCGCTGACTTGAATCGAAGTTGCATAAGTACTTCTGAAGTTGCATAAGGAGTCCTGAAATTCCACATGTACTTCTAAGTTGCAGATGTATCATCTCGTCTCCTCTGACCAACAATCCGTTCTGCCTCTCCAGTGTCAGCCCGTCCTCTGCCAATGGGGCCCAGCCTGTGGGGGATGCCCCCCGGTGGAGCGCCACCAGCAGCCAGGCAGACGGGGATGCAGACTCGCTGGCCGCCACCCTGGCGGAGGCGCGACTAGCCTCGTCCATGCCTCCCGCTGCCGCCCCGGTGGTTGACTGCACATGCGGCATGCCCCTCTGCATCTGCGAAGCACCGCCAAAGGAGGAGGTGACCTCTGCAAACAGTGGCCTTGTCTTCTTGTTTGAAATGATTTTTCTTGCACCTTTTGTGCTCGAGCTGGCTGTCACTTGAGGACTTGCCGTAGATCCCATGTACTCTTCTAGGTTTGAGAAACTTCATGAAATTGGTAAATCATGGTTGACGCCCTCTGAGCATTTGATCTAGATTTGGAAGGAAGACCAGCTCCTCTCAGGAAATGTTGGATGATGATGAGTACGGTCGGAGAGGTCGATGTGCAACGAATTGTTTGTCTTATGAAACCCCGTAAGACCATGAATGGGTTCAAGCACGTTTTTGTCAGTTGCTTTTCGAGACCTTGATTCACAATACGGCTGAAGGTTTTAAAACATTTTGATTGTTCTTGATGGAGGGACAACTGTTCGATATGACCGGAGTAAACTTTGAACGAAATTTGAGCGGCACGACTGAATCACCGTACAAAGTTCAACCATTTCATGGCCACGCAGTGTTGTCCGTTGCCATCTTCAGACTCGCTTAAAGAAGTTACACTTACAATAGCCCCCGTGTGCCCCTTCAGTTAGATGGCAGAAGACTCTATAAGAAGTTCGCTTTATGATCGTTACAATTCGGCAAAAAAACGTCTTTTCAAACCAAAATTTCGGGTCTGGTTTTTAACAGGGTTTCCGTCTTTCCCCAGGCACCCTCTGGGCCCTCTCCGTCATACCCGAGTCCTCCCGTCCAGCGCTCCCCCAGGGTCGCCAAAGCTGCACCCCAGACGACTAAGCCGGCCCCTGCCTCCGGGAACGAGATGCCCAGGTAAAGTAACCGACTTGTATTCTTCGTTGTGATGGACCTGAAAGAGCGCGCTCGAGTTCCATACCAGAAAGACCATGTAAGGCAATAAGACCCAATTTTCAAGACGGGACCCAGTTGGTTGGGCGTTTTGCGTATGTACTTCCGTGTGTCAACCCCGAAGAAACGTCCGCTTCTGATTCAGCGTCAAAATTTGGTAAACGTCATGCCAGCTCGTATGGAGTTGCAAGCAGGGTCCAAGTTGTGGGACGGATGCGCCTACAGACACAACGTGTACTGCGGTCACACTCAGTCCGCTCAGGCCAATTGCCGTTCTTAAGACCTGACAGCTTGCCAACAACCGCATTCTTCCGACCACAGCAGATTGCTTGTTCCTCTAAATTTGTTTCATACCTTCTTGCCTCGCAGTCTTTTCTTCCAATCGACCAACGGCGGGACACCGGAACCATCATCCAAGCCAGTGTACGAAGAGTCAGGGGAGGTGGGTAGCCTCTGCTTCACTCAAAGCCCGTCTCATGGCTTTTTCCGGAGCAAAATCCTCGACCGGAAATCTTTTTAAAACACAAATATCCGCCAGCGAAGTTATCGAACACTGAACTGCCAGAAACGAGTCGTTCAATGAAGCAATTCTATTCTGAACTCGAGAAGCGCTTGTCGCCCTTGGCAATTTCGGAGCCATATTTGAGCTATTGAATAATCTATCTATCTATGCCCGTCCAATCTTCGTTCTCATTAGTCGGTCCTCCTCCAAGTGCCATCTAGGGACGGCATGCGTTTGCTCGTTGGTCAGTGGACTTTAGGGGCATGCAGAGCCGAGTTTGACGTGACTGTCCGTTCTTGAGCAGGGCTTGCGCGAGGCTGTAAAAAGAGGGGACGCGTCTGGAGTCAGAAGCCTACTCGCAAAGGTGGGGCCGCCGGATCCGCTGGGCCGAAAGCTGTAGACAGCGATGTTTGAGAATCTGCATCTTGCCATTGCACCAACTCGTGCACGACTCGAACTTGTTTTCTGCACAAGAGATCTTCTGGCATCAGCCGACTCAGGATCGATTGCTCAGCCGTTGCGTGCTATGCAGGGTGTGGAGCCGTCGTACGTGGACCGGCAGGGCATGTCGCTCCTCCACCTGGCAGCCATGTTCAACCAGACGGACATTGCATTCATGCTGATTGACGCAGGCGCAAGCGTATCTGCCAAGAACGGGCAAGGTGAGTCACCCTCCCCGAACTCCAGACCGATGTTTCTGCGACCGGGGCTTACCCGACATTTGACGCCTGGTCAATGCTGATCAGAAAGCAGACACAGCCTGAGTGCCCAGTCCTTTCTTAAGTCGGTGGCCTTCTCATTTCCTTCATGCAAGCATGACAGATGAGGTTGCGATTGATTGATTGAAGACAAAAAAGTTGCACTGATCGGCCGGCACTGTTGCACGCTGGCAGCCATTTTGTGATCGCAAATGTACGAGGCCAGCTTATGGTGCTCGACAGCCAGAGTAAGCTAGGAAAGTAGACCAGAGCTGACCCGACATGAACTACCTCAATGCAGGCGAGACACCCCTTGATTGCGCACCGGCTACCTTGTCCAACAAGATCAAAGAGAAGCTTAGAAGAAGCTGATTGGATCGACTGATTTCGCGAGTTGGATGAATTGTACTGTATCTTTGGAAGGTGTACATTAAGAGCCGATATAGCCTTTAGTCATGGAACTGGTTGTACGTACTGTATGGTTAAGATGGCCTTTCCTAGACTTGAAATTGGTCGATGATCCCGCTCTTTTTCCTTGAATGGTCGAAAGCTGTTGCACAAGACACGTTGGGAACGTGTCTATACCATCTGGCACGTCTACCTGGTAGTTTGCAAGTAAACGAGGCTTGAGCATGGTAAAGTCGCACGATTTTTGGCGAAAGGCGAGGAATTATGTCACCTGTACCTCTAACTTGTCAACATGCTGCAATGTTTGCACCGCGCATCTGACTTGCCGATAGGAACTTATGCTACTATTAGTGATCGACATGGAAAAGGTGGCAGCTTCAAAGCGTACGCCTAGTCAGCGCCCGCTTTGTAGTAGTAGCCTAGCCTGCTCCATCCATATAATTAGTTTTATATTGAATGCATGCAGTGCGCCCCTATAGTCGCAGTGTGCGGCTCACTGAATAGTACGGTAAGCTATCATAGAACGGTAGCTACATGGTAAGTACGAAACAACTAGTGTTCTGGTCGGATCGTTGCATGCCTATGCTGATCGCTGCATGTGGCAGGCACCAGGCTTGAAAGCTGGAGTCGCGAGCCATTGCAAGTTGCAATTTGCAGCATTGCCTGGCATCGCTCAAAGAATTCGGAGGGATCACGCATCTGCCGTCGCCGCCGGCCGGTAGTTCATGCAAACGGCCATCATGCATTGTCGACGATTGGGGACCTAGAAGCAGCCTCCGTGCGCCATATGTTCCTGTTGCCGGGGCCGCTGTAGGTTGAGTGGGCCTACATGTTTCTGGTCGGTCAGCTAGCCCGGGTATATGATACATCCGACCGGGCAAGTAGCTGACGCCGACGGTTCATGCAAAAGCTTTGCTGATTGCCGGCATGAGAAACGGCATTGACCTTGCATGTGCAAGTCTGTGCAGCCAAACTTCGGCAACCTTTCCTCATTTCTGAATTTTCTCCCCCACTGGCACGGCCACGGCACACGACTCACAATCGGTGCTGCAGCTCCTGCCCCCCTCCTGCGCTGCCACAATTACCGTGGCTAATTGTGGCAGACTAAGTTAGAGGAAGGACGGGCCCATCCCCTCCACCAGCCGACCGTTCTAATGGAGCCCGCTCAGAGGAAGAGGCGCGTGCTCTTTGTCTGCAGCCATAATTCAAACCGCTCCATTGCTGCAGAAGCCATTGCCAGGAAGCTGCGTCCGGACCTGGATGTACATAGTGCGGGAACGCTTTCTGCGGGGTCGCTCAATCCGGTCATGGTCAGCGCGTTGGAAGGCAGGGGGTTCTCCACGGAAGGCATGTTCTCCAAGGTCAGTACTTTAAGCTTCTGATGACATTTGGCCAGTGTCAAAGTGGAAGTCGTCAACCATCTGCAGCGCCCCAGCAAACCAGCGCGGCAGCCCTTTCGATTGCAGCTCTGCAATGCACTGTGGTATTGCACGTCACAATGCCTCTAGTGGACTGGGGCACTTTTGGTTTAAGTAAGGCAAACCATGATTCAAACGAGGCTTCTGACTGCCTGTGCTGCATCCCAACCTTTTGTAGTGGCAGACTTGATGCGAATCCCATATGTGTTTGAGAAGCATCACCGCATGAATGAGTCAGCCCAAACTGCTGTCCTTCTTGGAAAGGAAGCAACATGAAGTGGGGGGCTTGGTCGGTAGATTATATGCTAAAGACCCCTGTCGGCTTGCAGAACCAGTCATCCGGATACGCTCTGATTGGGAACAGAGTATTAATACGCTGGGACAGTAACCAGCTCGGCACATGTAAGAGCAGAATTCAGTCTCCGATTGGCTTTCAATCCCTCTGTGGAGTACGTTGCTTGACAACATATGTCCGTGTCTGAGAAGGCTGACATCGGCAAGAGCAAGTGCTGATGCGCGGCTGGTTTATGCACGCTGTGCAGGGCATTGATGACGACACTGTCAAGGGACTGAACAACCATTGGGATGTAATCTGCACCATGGGCTGCCTGGTAAGTGCATCACTGTGTAAGTAGGCTTGAGTTTGGAGACAGGTGAGTCCCAGAGTATCAGCTGCTTGCATCAAAGCTGACATCTGCTTTTGAGGACTCTGAACATGGTTCCTGGTCTTGAGCCGTTCGGTCAATGGCAAGGAAGACATTGTAATCTCAAGATCAGGAGCAATGTTGCGAAAAGTTGGAAGTCGATGGCATGCTTGACACAAACCGCTGTATCAGCCCTTTATTCAGAACACACGATGTTTCGGAATCATGGGGATGTTCTACTTGAAGAGTCAGAAGGGTTGGACAAGGACAGATCGAACGAGTCGTGCTTACTTGCACGTGTGCCGGTGTCAACATCCTATTATCTTTCCCAAGCACAGTGCCCACCAACTTGTGCAGCGGCCCGTTTCCGCTGCGCACTTTCTTCTTCTGTTAATCACGCCTCTACTACAATGTGTGGCAACGCGGTTTGTTGGCCAGCATGAAAGCAGTATCATTTATTAAAGCATTACCCACTCTTGTTTTGATGAAGTACACCCTTAGTATGCCACCTCCTTTTCAACCAGTAGGGATCTGCGGTCTTTTGCTTGCCGCAGGCGAAGGGCCTACCTTACGACCCTCCTTCATCAACGGAGGTCTACGACTGGGGCCTGCCAGACCCGGCAGCGCAGCCGGAGCTCCTTGACATGGTTGTGGAGAAAGTGATTGAACACGTGAAAAGTATAAAATGAGCCCAACACATTTTTGTGGTCACACTGCATCTGTAAGTCCCTGAGTTGTACGGTCAAAGGTTTCGTACCCAACGTTGTTTTGGTCCTTTGCTGCGAACTTGTAACAGGTTCGAAACCGCGCTGTTTCGGTCAAATGCATGTAGGCCAGGTGCAGTACAATGTTGAGCTCGATGTCAATCTTAGCTAAAGTGAACTTTGCAGGGGGCCCATGCAGTGCTCAAAGAAAAGGTTACAAGGTTAGTAGACTTCACACTGAGGGCCTCACGACATGATGATAGATGCTTGTCAGGCCGTGCTCAGAGCAAACATCGGTCTCAGTCTTGCTAACAAACACCGCCCAGGTCAAACGATGGTCTCGCTTTGAAAACATGGCCACGCGCTCGTCATCTTAACAAGAAGGCATTAATCAGCCGGCCGCGGGCGGTCACGCACGTGATGATAACTTAGTATCAAATTGTGATATAGAATTTGTGTTCGCACACATGCTGCAGCGTTTTATAGGTAAATTGTCGGAACGTACAACCATGCTATGATCCGTTTCGATCCGCCAATACTGAAAGTTAAGTATATATACGTACTGATACTAACAAACACAAGTAGACGGTACATCATGGTATATATATGCAGCCTGAGGCCAGTGCATTTCATGCATCATCCCGCGCAGGCATGTCGGATCAGTGCCTTCCGTGCATGCAGTTCGTAATATAAACAGTTGAAAGCAGAAACCTTATCAAAAAGTCTGGCACATGCATAGATCCACATCGTATGTCACCAATCCTTCCCTACACCCTTCAAATGACTCACAGACGCAGCTATCCGAGTCTGCCTCTCGCTTCTATGCCGCTACCTATTGTCTTGGAAAGATTGACAAGAGTAGGATTGATCAGGCAGGTACGAAGCTATAACTAGTTGTAGAAGTTGTTGCCCAACTCGTCCACTAAAGTCTTGAGAGCTGAGCTAGCTGGTATTTCAAAGTCAATTGTGTCCAAGAGTTGCGCAGATGAGACGTAATGTGGAGGTTCTTGGAACGTGATTACAACATCTGGATAACACTTTTGCAAATCAATGGCTCTCTTTGCAAGTCCATCTATTGGACCCGCAATGTGCCTCAGATCTACATCCAGAGCCCTCAGATTAGGACAGCAACTCAGGACCTTGGTCATTAACCTGAAATCCTCCGAATTTCTCACGCTAAATTGGATGGACTTCAGGAGGGCAAAACGGATGCTCTCCAAAGCCTGGCTGCAATTGATGGACTCGTACAACTGACCAATTCCGGTCCCCATTTGATATTCTACTACCGTATGAGGCAAGATTTGTAGAAAAGTTGCCAGCGGACATCGCTCGCTTGCTATTGCCCAGTATTCAACGTTGATGTCGAGGTTGACCTTGTCAAAACTCTCAAACGTCTGTAAAAGCGTCTCCACATTACTCACATGCCAATTCCCACCTTCAAACCGCAACTCGGTGAGGCTAAACTTGCGGTTCCCAAGTTCTAAGGACTCTATTGCCCCGGTAAAAGTCACACTTGTCTATTTCGGTGCTTTCAAGATGAGTCTGCTTAGCCGAGGGACTCCTTTGAAGGACTGCAGGTTGGGTGCATTTATCACCAGATTGCCCCGGATGATTGCACGGAAGAAGTCTAGCTTTTCTAGTGTACAAGACTTTAACTTTGGCTCCTGCAAACCAGGGCAGTACTTGAGGCTAAGTACCTTCAGTGCAGGCGCCTGAGTCAGCAAGGAGTGCAGGAACTGGTCGGAGATAGTTGCACCTTCCAGTCGCACTTCCAAAAGGTTGTTGAATGCCAGCAGTCCTCCCCAAGGGAACTTGGAAAGCAAACCCCGAATGCTTCAACAGCACGGTCTCGAGAGGGAGGGCTGCCAGAAGCCTCCAAAGCTGAGAGGATGCTTCCTCGGTCCGCGGACATTGACCACTGAGCAGGGCAAAGACCCTTAGGTTGGTGCACTGCCTCAGGATGGCAGTCAGCAACTCAATCGATGCACAGACCTGCACCTTCAGTGGATCGCCTTCGAACGTCCGGGTGTAATGCAAGGCCAAGCTGCGGAGATGAGGACCCATCTGAGTGACCGCTTGCACACCCACCATGCTCCCCAGCGTATCGGAAAAGTCCCAGAAGACATGTCTAGCAGCTGCCAGAGCGTTCAATGCTCTAAATCTTTTACAGACCACCGACAGTTGGCCCAAGCTCCGGGCGAAGACCCAGTGGCCCTCCCCAGCCACAGCTGGGATGGCTGGGAGCGGCCACACTTCCAAATGCGCGTCTTGCTTTTCCGCTGCTCTCTCCAGTATCTTCTGCAGAAGCTCGTCATCGAGCTGGTCAAAAGTGCAGCCGCCTCTGTGCTGTCCGCTGGCCATGTTCACGAACAAGGAGAGGTCCAGGGCGCAAAAAGGTCAAAGAACGAAGTTGTAAAAGTGTTCACATGCTACTTTTACGCAAGGTGCGTCAGCATCTTTGACAATCGGGGCACTCTGCTCTCCTCGGTGACGATTTACAATATCTTGGTTAAGGGCTAGGTAACCGCAAGACAACCGGGTGGTTTTTGAGGGTCAGCTTGATCACGGTTAAAGCTTCCGGTCGAGCTGACACGATATACATTAAGCTTCGGTTTTGATCTTGTTCAGACCCCGGTTTGGTATTTGACTACCTAGAGAAGCAGTGACTTTTCGGTCATGGAAGGAAGGCAGGCTGCTACTGTAGTTAGTCTCTGCCCGGTGGTTTGGAGGAGTATTATAGGGTCGCCCGGTGCTTTTTTCAGGTTCCTTGGATGACGCGCTACCGCACGCGCGACGACGAGATCTTTGGCAATCTGGCGGCCGACAGTGCCGGCCTTGGTAACACTCAGCTGGTAACACTTTTACAACTTCGTTCTATGTACTACTTGCGTCGAGGGCCGCCTCCACTACACCGTACACGGTACACCAACACTGCCAGGTGACCTCTCAATCTGTGCCTTGATAGTGTCCGAGACTGCGACTGCACCCAGGACCAGAGTCCAGGAAGCTACCGTAGCCTAAGATGGATTGTCGCTGTTTGGTCACCGGGTAAGTTGCTCGTCAGCTACCGTCACGGCGAGTTCCCCCGTCATGCTCGCCAGCAGGTCCCAGAAACCGGCGTGCCTCTTGACGTCTTTCGGGGCGACCCTCCTGCCTTCAAAAGTAAATTGCCCTTCTTTCCCGACGGCGAAAGATTGGCTCCGACTCCCGGGTCCAGCAGGCGCTGCCAGTGCCAGGCGCAGCCTTGAAGATCACTGCTTCAGCGCTCTTTGATTCTTGGAAGGTGGTCACTCGCCAACTTCGCAATCTGCAGAGAGTCTCGGGGTGTTCTGGCGAACAGAAGAGCGCCATGGCAGGCACCCACACTCTCTTGCGGTTACCTGGACCCACTCTTACTACTTTGCAGTGCAAGGGCAGCCAGCTCCGGTCTCGCTTCGGGCAGGCTATTGCCTGTCCTCTGGTGGCGCGGCCCGCTGCGGGCAGCTGTCTTGAGCAAAGATGCACGGCGCACAAAGGTGAAAGGTTTGCGACACAGGTGGTTGCGGACAATGACGCCATTTATTGACACGGTGCCAATCAATCGTGCTTAGGCCCAGCAGTAATGAGACAATGCAGAAGTCTATGACAGGAGCTTTCAAGCACAAACACATCCCGCTGCCGTCTTTAGGCCATAGTCCCGCAACCAAATGCTGCCATCTTACACTTTCTCAGACTTACTTCAATGTTTGTGCTGTGCCCTTCCTGCCGTCTCCTTCCTCTTACCTTTCTGGCTGGCTGTCTTTCCAGCCTGCTCAGCTGACACTAACTTCTTTCTGCATTGGGGCAGCCTTTCTCCCTGCTGGAACGGGACTATCAGCATCCCCGTTTCACCAGCGGCTTCTGCACCAGTCTGAGAGGAGAGGCGCTCTGAGGCACCGGCCGCAGGCGGTGGCCGACGTGCTGACGGAGGCCCCCCTGCCGGAGCAAGAAGTTAGAGAAAAGGTGCGGCTTCTTCAGCGGGCACTTGTCGTTTTCACTAGGGGTATTTTGACATGCAATGTAAACAAAAGGAACAAAGTGCTAGTCATGTCGCTGTAGCTTTGCTTAGCCGTCTTGGAGTGGTACGCTGGTGGAAGGCACGTGAAAACCATTCACAAGGTTGGTAAACGAGCGGCTCGGATTTCTTCTCAACAACTGCTCAGTTTTGGGGGCAGAATCACCTTGTTCGGAGTTTCTTGATTGCCCTTTCCCAAGTAGCAGAAAAAAGGGCAGTGACAATTTTCAAAAAGAAGACTTTATATTACACAATCCGCCGCAAAATATGAAAACGAGTTATCCTGAAACCCGCCGTCGTTAAAGCAGTCGGGAAATCAGCAAGATCTGTGTAGGAAAGATTGAAGGTTTGAAAACCAGAGGTTTAACGTAACCTAAAACCCTGGAGTCGATATATCACACCATGGGCATGTATGTCTTGTACACTTGTGAGATTGTTTTCTTTGGAAATCATTCCTTTCCAAGTCGTAAAAGGTGTTTGTCAATCACGAGAGAAAAAAATTCCCAAGAGACTAATATAAATAGCAGCGACTTGTTCTTTCTTAAAATACAGTCCATACTTTTTGATAAAATGTGAAGGGACTGAAAGGGCCCCTGAGTCCTGCAGGCCATTGATGAGGTTGCGGCCCGCCTGGCTGCGGAGCATGGGTCTCTTCCAACGGGCCCGAATGGGCGGGATGACCGCGACCTGATTCTGTGGTTCCTCCGGGACCGCAAGTTTGACGTTGACAAGGCGGTTGAGAAGCTGGCCACCGCAATCGTATCCTTACAGCCTCTTCCGGGCAACTGTGGCACATCGACCGTTTTCTTCAGGGGTTTAATTTAAGAAATTCTTTCAGCCTTGCAAATGCCTCAAGGATATTCTAAGTAGCTGAGCTGAGCCAGGTTGCAGTAGGTCAAGGAAATGCAGGGCTCTACAAAACGATTGCTTGAATACTACAGCGGGGGGTTTCTGTCTGGCGGACGCCGTAAAGGTCTCTTTTTGGACATTGCCCCGTTGCGCGTTTCCTTGACTCCCTGCTCAGCAATGGCGCACCGACTTTGGCGTGGAGGCGCTCACGGACGAGAGGGTGGCTGCGTGCGCTGCCACGGGGAAGGCCTACTTGCACACGGCCAAGGACAAGGAGGGGCGCTCCGTCGTTGTGGTTGTCGCAGGACAGCACCGCCCCGAGGTGAGCACTTTCCCATTGCCCCACGAATCTTGATACAAGTTTTGTGGGCTGACACATTGGCCTGGTTGGTCAAGAAACACGATGGGAAGCCAGGTCGTAGAGCTACTCTTCCGGTCGAATCGTACTTACGAGGAGAGGTCGTGGATTCAGGTCCTTTGGATGGTCATACAAGCGCTTTTTTTTTGTCAATCTGTTTGGCAACTTCGATGAGCTCCTTAGGGAGCGCAGTCGGTACAGGTAGTCCACAAGAAACGCTGGGTTGTAAGCTTCAACGGAAGTCTTAGAACGGGGCCAAAGTCGAACGTGGAGACTGCCAACGACAAGTTCGCCGTCTCAACGATGGCCAGTTCACCGAGCAGCAACCACCCATCATTTGCAGTCGACAATCCATTCTCTTTTTCCTTTTCTTTCCCCCGTTTTTCCGCAACATGTAGTCCCTTGACTACAGATATCATTCTAAGGAGACCCCGCAACCAGATCCTCGGGCTTGTTAAACACACGAACATGATTCAGATCGTTACATAACGAGATGAGATGCTGAACTCGATCCTGCAAGACTTCCTTTCTTGTGATATTCGAATCCAGACCATCAGTCGACCCTTCGCATGCTCTCGCAACATTCATTCCTACGTTTCTGGGGGGGCCGGTCCAAGGTGGCACGGATCAGCGCCTTCATCCATAACCTGGAGCCAAGACAGAGCGAGAAGCGAAGACACCCCCATCGATTCAGTTGATCACCCTTAGAAGCGTGTCTCGCAGACCTCGGGTGTAACAACTTCTTCAAAGTGGCGGAGTTCTCTGGAGAGACTCGCGCCCGTTGCTGTCGTGCGTACATGTCCTTTGAAGGACGTCTCAGCTGATTATCAGCAAGACGTTGTGTCACAGACTTCGTGCTGTGTGAAACCATCATCAGAGTTACGGAGTTCTCCGGAATTCTGCGCGCCCGTCTCTCGCTTGCAGGAGTCTTCCGTTGGAGGACACCTCGGCTGATCGTCAGCAGAATCAATTGTTAGAGACTTCGCGGTGTCTTACACCACCTTCCAAGTCATGTGTTGGAGTTTTCCGGAGAAATCACGAGCTCCTCTTTGTTGTACAGGAGTTTTCGCTGGAGGACAGTCAGCGGCTGTGCGTGCACATCGTGGAGCAGGCGGTCGCCAACCTGGAGCCGCCGACGGAGCAGATTTTGGGCATCTTCGACCTGCGCGGCTTCCAGCAGAAGAACACCGACTGGCCCTTCATCAAGTTCCTCGTCGACATCTTCTTCAAGTGAGGCCGCTTTGCCACTTTTTCTTGTCCGCTCTGAGAATATGACGAAAGTGGTTGATGGAAATACCAACGTAGTACGGAGCTTTAGGTTGTAGAGGGGTCATTTGTTATACTCTTTCGTCGTCAACTTGAGGAGAAAAGTCTGCGACTTTATTACGTGCCACTTCTCCTTGATGATTCAAGCCTGAGGTTTCGCAATGTACCTCAATACCCTCTGTCCCTCCTGGTAATCTCGTTTGCCAGCGCTTCCGGACAACCCGCGGTTGACCTTCGCCTAGGTTAGTTTTTCAACAAGCAGTCTCACGAAAGTTGTAAACGTCCGGACGTAAAGGCGGCGCTCGGTCGCCCAAGTAACGGCACCGCGATCTCCGTTCCCCTAATCCTTTTTGCCGTTTCTCTTGATTCCTCTGAACACTTTGGGCACTTGATTCCCCTTTGTTTACCGTCAGACGCCGCATGCACGTTTCTGTATAAGCATTGGGGCTCAACGTAAATCTGCCGACAAAAGCGCCTGATCATGCGCCCTGTTCTTCCAGGTACTACCCGAAGCGCCTCGGTCACGTGCTGTTCGTGGACGCGCCCTTCATCTTCCGGCCAGGCTGGGAGATCGTCAAGCCCTGGATCGGCAAATACAAGGAGCTGGTAAGCGCGCCGGCTCAGCCTGCCGCTGGAGCAGACTGCCTCTGACAAGTTGCGGATAAGGGAAGGCTGCTAGATCGAAAAGTACTCAGCAATGTCACAAGTGGAAGTGGATCCCGTATCGTCGCTTCTGTTCCGTGCCTTTGGAGTCATTTGATTTAGGCGAGCTCAACTTGTGTCGTCGACAAGCTCAACGGTGGTCCCCCTCTGGGGGCGACACCCAGTTTGATCGACCACAATTGACGTTTTTCACTCACCTTCAAGATCCTGTCTCCCTTTGTCTGGGGGCATTTTCACAAATTGGAAACGAAGTTAAAAAACAGTTCCTTTTTCTGTCCCACAACAGGGCATCATATATCCACTTTTCTATCTTTTTGATCCATCGCTGACGGTGGACTAACTCGAACGTGTCCAAGGACGTAAGCGGTGCTGTCTGCAGGCTCCGGGAACAGCCGAACCCCTCTCACTTTCTTAAGTTCCATTTGGTCCAGTCGAACGTCCGCAGCTTGTCCTCGAGGATCCTCCAACCAATTGGTTAAAAGAGACATGCTGCTTCTGAAAGCAACTGCATAGTGCAAACTTCAGACGCCCGCAAGGCAGGCCAAAGCGGGCGACTGAGCACCGTTTTGCATACCGCAGGTCCGGTTCTGCTCCGCCAAGGACGTCAAGGAGTATTTCACGGACGAGACGCTGCCTCCCAACTTTCGGACCTGACTTCTGTGAGCGCTGAAGCCGAAAGGGGGCCTGTGTTTGGTGCCCCCCTTTGGCGGGGCGGCTCCCATTTCAGTTTGGGATTGTACGCGCAGGTTGTTGAGTGTGCCCAACTCCGAGATTTTGAGCGTGTTGAGTTGTAACTTAGAAACAAGGTAGCGGTACTAATCGTCCCCTAGGGATGTTGAGATTGGACCTATTGTTGCAGATTAGCTAGACATCCCCACGGCCATAGGTGTTGCTTGAATCGAGGCGGTAGGTCTGGTGGACTTCACCGACGGATGACCCCCTGATTTGTTGATGCTTTTACAGCTGTAGCTAGTGGACCATTTGAGCACTTCTGCGTGCTTGAGCGAGTAAATGATCACGGGCCGGTAGTTGTGAGAACAGGCCGCCCAGGCTTCCACTGCAGCCCGCGGCATATGTTGCCAAAAGAAGTGTAGTAGTGTCCGTTTACAACTCTATGTGATGCCCACCCCAGGCGGGGAGACCTGTTTGCAAGCTAGCCCGGCCCGCCCTTGATCGAGTTACTGATTGATTGCGCTCACCAATGTCAAACTTAAAACACATATCTCATGCGCGAGTTCAAATTAATTGCAAGCGCGCCTTGACGAGCGGGGCCGGCCAGACATTTTTACCATATTAAGGTTTATGTATATGCGCATATGAGCAGCCTAGGTGCAGGACTCCGTCCGCACGTGGCGCGCGGCTTTTACCATGTGATGATTGGTAAATTGAGTGTTCAATGAACAGTGGGCCGAAGTGCTCCGACACATATTTAACATACATTCTGATCGAGAGCTACTGAGCGACACACGTTCTCAAGCATATAGCGCGCAATTCCTAGTAAACTGCGCCAAGCGCAAGCTTCGCATCAAAATCATCAATTAATATGAGCCACTGAGGGCTGCATAATCAAAAGAGCGGAATGCGTACATATGAAGACGTTTCCATGGACCACGCTCAGTGTCCTCAGATCTTACATGTGGCAGGCCCTGCATGCGCATTCAGTTGGCATACGTTTCATGACCGAACATCAAACGTTGGTGGTTGCAGTATCAATTAGAATCACAATTGTGCGCCACGCGTGCACAGCCTAGACTCACTAATATCAAGTGAACCTTGGAACAACATGAAAATGATCTAGCTGTCAAGCGTTGCGTAACCGCACGGCCCCAATGCTCTGTGTTTGTGCAACATATCTATGCACCCAAGCTCTTTCGATCGGATGATCTTGCACGTCCATTGGCATGACGGTCACAAGTTAGGCTGGAATGCAGCGTACCGTGACTGACTAAGCCGTACGTTCAATTGATCCTATAAAATGAGACGGCTTTACTTGCTTGCACGTAGTATGGAATGAGCCGCTGATCGACAGCTTTTGCAATATCGATCCAGAAACTTTTCCGCTCTTATTTCAGAAAGAATGCAGCTACAAGCTATTCCTTTGGCGGGTGCACTGATCATGCCTCCAACGGTGGCAATCGTGCATCTCGGTTTGACGTTCCTAAACCATCGAGCCTGACTATATTGGCTGGAAAAAGCCTTGCTCCTGTCTTCCTTCGACCGTTGCAGCCCCTCACCCGTGGTTCCCGTACCTCCCGGCCGCCTCACCCCGCTCATTGGTGCGTACCGGCGGGCCCGTGGCTTTCTTGAGGTACTCGATGACGTCAGCCCGGTCCTTGGGTTCGGGGAGGCCCTCGAAGTCCATCTTGGTGCCCTGCACGTACTTCTGCGGGTTCTCCAGCCAGACGTACAACGTCTCCTCGTTCCAGATTGTGCCCTGCGGAGAACGAGACGAGAGTCGCTTCAGGGCCCTTTGAAGGCCAATCGATAATTTGGAAACACATCTGTAAACGAACACTCAACAAAATCCTGATCGACGTGGGGCGGTTGAGGAAAATCAGACGCAATTTTCGTCGACTTTGGCGACCAGCTCTTGCCTCCGTTAAAGAGCGAATAGCCTAACGACACGCGTTTAGATTCAATCCATGTACCGACCATGATGTCAACTAGAGCCGTCATTTTTCTTTTCTTCAACGGACCGCTGGTGCTGGCCTGCCAATGCAGGGCATACCGTACACAGGCAGCCTTTTTTCAAGAGCACCGAAATGCACGTTGTTTGCAATAGGAAAGAAAATTTGAATTGTAGCAATTTAATAAGTCCCAATGCTTTTGACTCATAAGCCTCGCCAAGAATGACGGCACCCTGACAACTCTACGAGTGTTCCCACCGGGGGCCGGAATCGGTTGTTTTTCTGGCCGAATTGCCGGTTCCAGAACCTTGCCGCACCAAAAGCATCTCGACTTCTTCACGAAGAAAAACCACATCTGCTTAGAGATTCTTATAGGAACCACTTCACACACTCGGACCATTATGCGTCTCATTCGAGAGGTGGACACCCACCTTCAGCTGGAGTGCTTGTGAGTAACCCCGAGGGAAGTCGGGAAGCCTCCCTGACCTACACAAACCGAGGCAGGCTGAGAGTGAGCAACCTTCAAGTATTTGAAACGGCGCTTTGTGAAAGTTCGAGAAGGAACTCCTTTGCAACGCTATCTATTCAAATGCACACTACGGACGGTGCAATCTGCGACAAGTTCCGAAAACGCTGCACTGTCATGAAAGCTACTAAATGACGTACAGGATCAGATACCCTGAGCTCTTAACCTGCCAATCAAGTGGGGTGCTCATTTTCGAGCAGAATTTTTTGGAAGGGGTTCCAAAGACAGGTAGCCTTTCCTTAACCCGGTGCATGCAGCAACACAGTTGTTCAGACCTCATCCCTGTCTTGAGCCCAGACTCATCAGAGCGAGCATCCTCTAGCTGTATTTGGAATCAAGAGTATTTAGAATACTAAGAAAGCCTAAGTAGAGCAGATTCTGTGCAAGTTACAGCGCAGCAGCTCTACAACCCCCATCTTCACCTCCCGCCACCTCTCCCATTTGATTACCAACCCTCCTCCCCAGCACACCCCTCTCAGCACCTTCCCACTGGCAACATTTAAGTGCTTTGACTTCTGAACGCCAGTTGCCCAAATGTGCACCCAGCCTTTCGCTGCATGACCTGGAAACCCCCTGGTCTTATCTGCGCGCATGCCCTCTCACCTTCTCCCAAACAGTCCCCACAGGTTTGGCGCTTTGGGTCCATGGGAGTCTGGCCCCGTTGCATTCGGGTTAATGGCGTGGCACTTGGCACACGTCTGCTTGTAGATCTCCTCCCCTCGTTGTGGATCCCCTTGGGGAGCTTTGGAAAAATCCTTGTCCGCGCCCGCCCGTGACATTGCCCCTCGCAGCTGGTAAGACGTGCTAATGTGGGTATACTATGATCTGATTGATTGGACTTCAGATCGCCTCAATCTTTAGTTGCTATATCGCATCAAGGCCCACTTCACTAGAGGCGCTCTGCAACTAACCCCAATGTAGCTTAAGGTGCATGCAGCAGATTTAGAAGGTTCAAATGCAAACAGAACCTTGAACTCTTGAACTGTCACGAGACAGAGTCAAAACACTAGTTTCAGTCCTTGCTGATGATAAATGATCGGAGTGAGTCTGCCTTGGTTGTCTAGCTTCAAAGAATCAGCTCTAACGTTCCGGAACAGCAATGCAACTGCGGTAGATGTCAGGTTCGCATCCTGCGGTGGTTGCAATGATGGTCCGAAGCTGGGCCAATAGATTGATTGAATTTCAATACGTGACTCTCGCGCCCCTCGTGCCCCAAATCGAAACCCTGTCCAGGTCCCCTTCCGCTGCAAGAAGGACAAAAGCAGAATCAGGAAAGCTCGTCAACGCAATCAATAAGATTATTAGAAAGCTGGCAGGGTCTGCAAGAGGAGTAACGTCTGTGCATGTGCCGTGGATGTAGCTGCGTAGAGCAATGCTACGCAAGGCTACCTATAGTCCTATCTCATGATCCTCCATCGGCAGCAAGTTTACGGGGCTGCAGGGGCGCCTCAATGGTCAGACTGCTATGACAGGTGGCGGAGTGCATGATGCTCAACGTCAAGCCAAGGCAAATTCGAGCCGGGGGGATCCCTCAAGCGGCGTCTCAGACTCAGATGACCACACTGGAAGTCCACACTGCGCGCGCGGCTTGTTTCACCGGCCGCGTGCTGGCCGCCCAGCTCGGCGTCCATGCACGGTCACTCGCGCTCAATGAAATTCTGACTAGAATGAGCAGCCGTCCCGCCTAGCATGCAGCGTTCCAAGTGCCTGGCCGGCAGAGCTACGGTATATGTTGGAAGCCAGCGCACTTGATTAAGCTGGCTCGGCCACTCAGGTGACAAATCTTGCAGCTGGGCCGTCTTCATCCTCTTGCCACGTCATGGATATGTGCAACTAGCGCAACAGCTAGTGACACATAACTTAAGTCAGCAACTGACTGGAAGCAATGCGCATGGGTTGCGATATTGCATAGTACAGAATCTATCGATCCATTGTTGGAGGCAATCACTTTTCGAGGCTAGGAACTTACATCAGTTCTGACAATGATACACATGCATCTTCATGCGCATGCCACCTTGGCAGGGCTGCACGCAGCTCTCCATATCAGGATATGCACATGCATAGTAACTGTCCCGCTCGAATCGCAGACTGCCTGCAACTATGTGCGCAATGCAGACCCTAACTTGCTGGTGGTTTGCTTGGATCTCCTCCGTACAGTTTGCACTATCGGATCGACATTGTGGTCACTTCAACATTGGAGCATCATCATCAATCACAATGCAGAGTGCCAACTTGTCATGATTGAGTTGCAACGGTCCTGAACGGCGAGGGGCTCAGCTCAACTCTTCACCTCCTTTATCAAGGTCGTGGAAACCACCAGTCCGTCAAGGTCGTAGGTCCTGATCAATCTCGAACGGTGGCCCGGGTTAACTATCCAGGACATTTCGAAGTAGAACGATTGCCCGGGCTTCACGTTGAGCGGACACGTAACAGCGATGCCCCCGGGTAGTAGCGTGGTTTGCAGGCCGCCAGGGTACAGGATGACGGACCCGTCTAGAGACGCCGTGGACTTCAACTCAAAACCGCTGGGACCCATCTTGAGCACCTGTCGGGATTACGAGCAGTGCGTCAACAAGCAGTGCGTCAAGAGAGACAACAAGGATCGTATCTGCTTGCGCAGGCGACTGCATAGAGAAAACTTAGAAGCCTCTACGTAAGAAGGGGCACCCATGCAGGGTACTACTGGGCCTTTTACATGGACAAGTGGTTACTGAATGGATTCACCAGCAATTATGAGTAGGCCTCTTATTTGACGTATTGTACCAAACTTCAAAACTTTTGAACCTACAAAAAGAGCGCTGACACAGTACCGAGTATCCACAAAGGTACTTAAAGCGTCTGCATCGAATCCTCACCTGTTCTAAAGTGCCCTCCGGTCCTTTCGTATAAGTGATGGACGAATCGTACTCTGTGACAGTGCCCCCGTACAGCGCCGTCCGCCGACTCGAGGCGCGGCCCTTCCACTTTCCTAGCAACGCGTCAATCCGACTTCCCGGGTCGTCTTGCTGCGTTCAAAGAGAGCGGATCAGGATGGCTGTCAGAGAAATTGGAGCTTCCCAAAGTTCGTACATCCAAGAAAACAACCCCCTTTCTCAACCTAAAGATGCTTCGTGCCGTTGTTTTCGGAATTTCTGCAGCCGGGTTTACAGGTCTGGTGAGGAGCCCAAGGAAGGCACATCACGATGGTTTCCGACGGGTGCGCTGGACCGGCGGCTCGCTTCCTCATTCTGGAGCAGCCCAAACTTCACAAGCCACGAAGCGTCTCTGTCTGGTGAGCGTGAATTAGTGATCACGAACCCCATCCTGGCGTGCTGGCAACGACGTCAAAACGGAGTCTGCTTGCCGAAGCCGGAGCAAGTAAAGCCATACACTTCAAAATGGTACCTTAAGAGGACAAACGACCACGCAGAGCTGCAGTCGGGCAAGTAGGGACTACATCAGCATAAAAAAGCCTATGTCCTCTGATACATCGGAATCCTCGGCCCCTTCTGCTCAGGAAGGGAGAGGGAGATGGATCTATCTCACGAACAGAATCAGTTTTTAGAAACGAAAGCTGTGAAGAAGAACTTTGTAGAGCTGGCCTCACCGTTTCCAGCTCTTCACCTTCCGTCTTGCTCTCGACGAACACGCCAATCTGGTCCAGCAGGCCGCGCGTGTCCAACACGTGTATGGCGCGCACGCGTCGGTCGCCGCTGTCCGAATGGAGGCAACATTCGCTCACCAGAGCGGGGCGCTCCGAAGGATAGCGAACAGTCCTGGGCACAGAGGGAGAGAGCTCTTAGAATCGTCTTCTTGTCGTCTGGCCTCTGACAATCTGACAATCGTTGTGAAGACGAGGCGATCTTGATTTGAATTTGGTGATTGACGCTCGCTTTCCGCAAGAAGCAGAATGCGAATGTAGCGGTGCAGGTTTGATTGAACTATCTCAATGGACCTTCCAATAGAAGGAAAGGATGACACAGCTAAGTCGCCTGCAGACTTGTTCGAGATAGGGGAGAAGAAAAACGGTCGTTGTTGCAGAATCGCCACATCTTGCTACTCGGAGAGCAAATCGCATCAAAGCAACTTTTGACCACGGTGTCTTTTGGCAGTAAACCCTCAGACCAAACGGTCAGTAGCTGTGTCCACTCTTGAAGCTACAACAACACAACAGATTGGGCTCTGCATTAATGACACCACCTACAATGAAGTGGGCACTGGGCAGAGCTGGGAGGAGGAATAGCATGTAGGATATGAGAATCGAATCTTGACGAAGCATTAATTTGCGAAGAAACACAATTCGTCTAGGTGATTGACCGTTTGGTTGTAACGTAGTACCTGTCAATGTCTTCTCCGTCCTTTTTCTTGGACAGCCCTTTCCTTAAGAGTGCGTCCAGTGCTTCTGCAGTTTGGTGTGACAGCGAGAAGGCGCCATCACCAGGAAAGTAACTCAGCTGTCAGAAGAACAGGAACGAGACTTAGCATGTTGAAGATTCGAATATAAGGGTGGGTTTTTGACTGCTTGGGGCCCGGGAAACACTGATGGCTGCGTCCACTTCTTTGAACATTCAAAGACGTTTACGGCAAGGCAGCTTTTCAGAAAGCACTGCAATTCTTTATGTAGGTGCCGCCTCCACAAGATGGTGGTTCAAGATAAGACGTCTGTGCCGTTGCCTTCCCTGCGATGCAAGGATTCAGAATCTGACATAGGTTTCCCATCCTCTCAAAGGGAAAGTGGATTAACCACAGGCTTGATGGTGCTTAGCGTCACAAACCTGGTCAGGGCCCACTTACCTGCTGAGAGTCACCTAGCGAAGTGCGGCTGCTGTGCAAATCAAAGACCGACTCAGAATCTGACGCGCTGGCAGCTCCCACAGCTTGATCCTGAACCTTCAACCTACAAAGAATGAATCAATGTTGACAAGAATGACAAAAGACACCTGTCTCAGGAATATCTACGGCCAGGAGGTGCTTGATCAGCCCAGAAGCATCATAACTCATGCCCTAAGAATCACATCATCAGCTTCAAGAGGCATAAGAACTGGAAACCTTTGACCACCACCACCATCATCAGATGAACCCTGACTGTTTGCTTTGAGTCATTGGGATTGATAATATTGTCTCATTTGCCCGCACCTCTGTTGCATCATCAGGTCATCCGCTGTTCCGCTGGACGTGACTTCCATGGTCGTTTGGATGCTCTCCAGGACCTTGCCGAATGCATTGAATTGCTGCACATGAGGTTGACTGGATGATTGGTGGCTAGCTCAGAAAACTGTCAATTCTACTGAGGAGCACATTTGAATTATGGTGATGCAATAAGAGTTGCTGTCGACAGGTGCGTCCAACACGTCAGCCCAGCATCTTTCAACCACTTGCAGCGATCACGCCCTCACTCACTCAGTCCGGGTGGTAAATATGTTAAGAGCCTCAGAGCTTGAGCGGAAGGCAAGAGTCTTGCTGATGGTCGTGCTCACATAAAACGTGCCACTCCAGGTCCCGCAGTTCAACTGGACGAACGCAGGAAATGCTGCTGAAGCATCCATATGCCACTTTGCAATGCTGCAGGCAACTCTCCTTGACTGTCTAGCGCCCCAAGCGAAAGAGGTGCCTAGAAAATGAGAAGCAGGCAACTTGCTTTGCTCTTGTGCCAAGTCACACCAGTCGTGAAGCTGGTTTGTACCTCTGAGGACGTCTTGGTGGTGAAAAAAGGACGAATGTCGCTCTGGAAATCTGTTACAGGTTGGCAGCTTCCAATGCCGCATGTTTGCTGACTGCGGTCGCCGTGCATTTGTCAAAGCAGACCTTGCGCAAGTTGATATTAATGGCCAGCTCCCCCTGCTTCTGAGTGAGTACATGCTAGCTGCCTCCATTGCTTATAAGATTAGCGCTGCTGCTGCCACTAGCTAGCAATCAGTGAGAGTGTTAGCGGCAGAGGCTGCAGGAAGTTGTTTTGTTGGCGCCTGCCAGCAACCGTACCGGCCGAGCCAGTTACTGAGGTAAAACCATCAAAGTAGACTCCTTTTGTTAGTGTCTCCGCCACTCTGATTGGTGTGAATTACTCCCAACCCACCTGGAAGCACCTGAAGGGTGACAATTATTGCAGTCTGTCAGTGGTTACGGGAGTGGTTACAACGTTGACAATGAGACTGACATCGACATTGACATCGACGTTGACATTGACATTAACCCGGGGCACTTACTTTGACATTAGGGTTACGTTGCAAACCTGTGACGGTTCACGCCAATCGACGAGCGCTTTGTTAGGGTTACGCCATTCCCAGTGACATTAGGGTTACTCACTGACAGAGACAACCGGGCAGAGTTCTTTTAGTTTTAGTGTTGTAGGCCATTTATCCTGACCCGGTTCCATCCGTACTAGAATCCGTACCGCAAAGTGTACGGTAAAACCTGAAATTCTGACGCATTTTTGTTCAAAGGACCTGAGCTGACAGTACGGTCCACGCGGATACCCTGTGAACCTATGATCCCGCGTGTAAGATGTTTTCACACTTTTTGGGAGCCTGAGACACTAACAAAAGGAGTCTACTTCGTCGTACTTGCGTTACTGAGTACTCCCTACATGCACATGTATAGCTAGCGCCCGCCGCCACACCGCGCGTGGCCTCGTCCGGTTCCGCGGCCGCGCCGTTATGCGCGCCGCGCGCGTAACGCGGCCGGCTTGGCGCAGAAACCCTGCAACGACCGGCCGGCGGCCGGCCGGCCAGCTGCACAGTGCACAGTGCACATGTGACACATGTCCACATCGACACTGGACAGCTACGGTAGTAGCATCTGCATAATGGAGCATAATGGATCAGTCACAACAGTGTTTCTTTACGGCGCTGTCATCCAGGTCGGGCATCCATGATCCAGGCAACTCCTGCGAGTCCCTTGGACCCTTGTTAAATGGCCGAGGCCCAATTGCGGTAACCCTGGGGTTACGTAAGTCAGGAATCAGGATACTGACGTGAATTACTGAGAGGCTTGTCTCCTAAGATTCAGAAGCCCCGGGCAGAGGGGCAGTACCACAACTAGGTACCTAAAACCCCTTAAACCCAAAAACGCGCTCCGCACCCCTACCCAACTAAACCAACCCTACCCGTCCCGACTCCCCCACCCTAGACCTTGTTAGACAATGGACTCGATCGGGAGTTCCGCAATTCCGCATTCGATGTTTATCAGTGCATAATGGTATAATGGAGCATTTCAAAGTGTTTCTTTCGGGCGCTGACATCGTGCTGACATCCAGGTCTGATAGATGTCTTCACAACAGTATCCTGTCTTACGTAACCCCAGGGTTACCGCAGAATTGCTACATACGCATTAGAGGCGAATTCAAGGTAACTCGAGCTATGTAACTAACCGCATGTAGCTGGCCTAACTTTTTTCACGCCAAGCCAGGCGCTATCCATGCTGTAAAAACCGGGAATGTAGAAACAACTTCACTGCGCTGGCAGCCTGGCACTTTCAACTGCATAATGGAGCATTAAGTGATTGGGCGTTTCCTTCTTCAAGTTTTTGGCGCTGACATCCAGGTCTGTGCAGTGCAGACTCCAGTGTGCACCTGTTCGCAGAGTCGGGCTGCGCCACTAAGTGGCAGCCGCTTCCCCCGCGCGTTTCCTGTTGTTGTATTGTTCGATACTGTCGTGATTCGTGAATGCTCCGGAGTCCAGACTCCAGAGTCCAATGGCAGATTCACTAGGTCAAAACTTTTCAACAGTATCCCGCTTGACTTCTGCTGTATTGCATTGCCTGGGCCCTGGACGGTCAATCGCAGGCCCTGTGCAGGACCTGTGCACAGTCAATATTTTTCGGCCGTTTCAGGGGGACCACGCGCGTACGTGGTACGTACCAAGTAAATAATAAGATCACAAGAGCTCTCGCTTTGATGACAGTTATTTTTATCGACGGCGGGTGCTAAGCTGTAGGCTACCCTGTGTACGGTTGTCATATTGACCCATGGGTACTTTGATTCCTGACAGTGATTCCGACGAATCACGTGAGCTGAGCACGATCCGGCACTGTAGTTACTATGCAGCCCCACCGGCAGAAGGTCGAACCACCTAGAGGCTAGAAAGAGGCTAGGTTTCGTCGATCGCTAGACGTAGCAGAAGCAGAACAGTAGAACAGTAGAAAACAGACAAGCTAGAAGCCTATGCAGGGCCTATGCAAACATGCTAGCCTTCATGTAGTAAGACAAGTCGTTTGCGCCCCATTCGACGACGAAAGCATGGGAGATTCGTTTGCATAATACATCGATGCGTACTTCTGTTTGCATTTAATATACATCATGGATGGAAACCGCCTCAAGGCTCAAAGCCTGTGCGTATACTTTTCAAGAATCAAGGGCATGGGCAGATCCGGTTTGCATTTGATGCTTCAGAATCAGCAGCTCTGAAACTGGGGAAGCCTCTTCCATGCAGCTACCATTGGGGCAGTTAGTGCTCACACGACCAAGAAGGTTTTGAGTGCAGCCTCAGTGCTATAAAGGCAGCTCGCAAGTCCATCGACGGTTATTCACAACTCGCCATTCTCGCAAGCAAGCAAGCAACTCCGCAGCTCTTCTCCAGAGACACCAGATCTTCTTCCTCACCTACACTACATAGTCCAAGTGCTAGCTGCTATGGCGTCCAGCTCAGCCCTGTCGGTCCTTGTTGCCCTTGTGCTTGTGGCCGCCCTGAGTGTGCCTACGTCCGGCTCTGAAGCAGCGGACAGCTGGGACATGTCCCACGTCCACCCCGGCCTTTCCAGGGAGCTCCTGGCTACACCTGTTGCCGGTAAGAAGACTCTGGCAAGGTTGACCATTTGCTAATAATCCTGATCATTGACGTCCTGCCCTCCCTACTGGACCTGAATCAGCGAAGATGTGTTGTGAAGTTGCGAAGATGGATCTTAATTATGTGTAAGTTGGGTTCCAATTTGATAATGCTTCCTTTGCCTGCAATGACACCCTCTCGAATCTCCCATAGCAAGAATGTGTAAGACAGCCGAGTCTAATCAGATCATCATGAACAAAGACGTGTTCTTGCTGTTCGAACGTTTCCAGGCAGCTTGATTATGCAGGATCAAATACTTTCACCGTTTCTATCACACTTTTTCCCTCCTGCATCGCTTCAGACTGTCCTCGGCTCTCCCTCAATCCTCTCTTCTACTACTAGTAGGCTACACTTGTTTGTCTGCCTGTTATGTACCGCCTCACTGGCAGATCCAGGAAGCAGGAAGCTTCTTGGTAGAAGATCCGGCTACTTCCCAGCAGGGAATCATCTCTCTTTGTGCTTGCCAGCGCCAATCTGCAGAAGCCAACCTCGCGTTCCTTCGATCTTGAACTGATCCTTGATTCGGCAGCTTGTTGACTTGTTAACAAGAACAAGAACAAGAACAAGTTGCTGAGCTCGTTTCAAACCTCGTCCCCCCCTTATTTTCCAAGGCTGTGTCTGCCCCCCCGGTACTGGCGGCGTCAACTGTGATGTGTGCCCAGCGGGCACCTTCTCTCCTGGGGGCCCCCCATCCTCCACCAACTGCAACCCTTGCCCCGACTTCTCCATAGCGCCCAGGCCAGGGTTCGGCAAGTGCAGAGCGTGCGCCGCCGGGCAGGGCACAAACCTTGCCAGAACCAAGTGCTGTGAGTATTTCCTGAGTCCTCTTACATAGGAGGGACAAGTTCTCCTGGAAGATTGTTTTCCTGAAGATTAATCTCTGCAGAGATTGTTCTCCTGATTGGCAATCAAGGTTCTGGGCTTTCGGGCTTGCCAGGTGCGAGAACGCACTTACCCAGGACAGTGATGTCACAAAGAACAAAGCAGCTAGTCCACCTTTTGATGACGTTGCAACGGTTCCTAGCAAGGCGTTCCCAGGTGACTCTTTGCTTCAGCAATTATCCAGACGTCACTAGCTTCTGATGCGTTGCATTTGCTCAATAAAGATATATATGAAACGTTTCTTGAGAGCACTAATGCTAGCAGTCGGCAAGGAGATGATGGTCTGATATTTAGTGCGTAAATCTGATCCTATCCATCGCTCGTGCCCTGCAGTTGCTTGCTCGGGGGGGCCCCTCGCACCTTTCCCTTGCAACAAACCCCAATTTGGCGGTAACCCCCAGGCGTGCCCTGGCTGCCAGGGAGATAACAGCATCGGCTGCTGCATTCCCGGGACGTATTGCTGCTAAGCAGTTGAGAAACTGGGTGACGATCAGTCAAGGAAATTTGAAGAAGGGAATACAGCTTTAGCAACCTTTCTATAAGCTAGTTCTGCAGATCATCGTAATAAGTTGTGAGGGGTTGAAGAAAAGCCCGGCTGTGGCCAGATGATGATTTTCGAATTCGGCCACAGTCTGCAAGGAGTCAGGTTGACGGTAGGAGTCAGGGATGTCGTGCACAAAGTCGGATGATGCCGCATCCTATACTAGTTGAATACTGTAGTGACCTAGTAGAAGAAGCAGAACTGTTACCAACCCACAGCGACGTACTACTAGGATCTCATTGACAAGAAGTGGTCGCTGTTCTGAACGCTAGGTCCACAAATCCACCTCAATGGTAGCCCATTTAGAACTCATCTAGAAGTAGTGCATTAGAAGTACGTAGTACAGATCTACAAGTAGTTTGCAGCTTGGATTGTGGTGTGGTGCCTCTCCATCTCTGCCGGGACGCACAGATCGCCAGCGTACGGTAGACTTTCCTGTATTCCTGGTTGTGTGATATGCAAGGACGTTTCGGTTTGGCATTCATCAGACGTTTATTGACGAAGCTCATACGGACTTCATGCAGATTTTAGCTAAGGCATATAGTGGCATGCAGGGTGCTGCATGATAAGTTTACGAGTGATTGGGCGAAGGATCAAGGCCAAAATTGAGATTGTGATTGCAAGATTGAGCAAACGTACGGTACTCTGACTTAAACATGATTTGTGCCATAGGAACTTAGCATCTATATGACACCTCGGTATGTCTCCCTAAAAGTTCGTCTTCAAGTGAACCGGCGCCATATCAGAGACTTTGAGTCCACTGCTCATGAGCAGATGACATCATCATGCGTCTTGCGTGAGAAAGTGACGTACATGCAACAAATATTCTGGTCGGCGCGCCGGGCCGGCCGCTCGGCCAGGCCGGACTCACATGGCCGCTGTAGATGGACTATAGTCGATTCGAGTCATTGTTGTCGATCAGTCCAACATGGTGACTGATCAGCTATTGGAACCACTGAAGATCGATCGACGCTTTTACTGCCAATGAGTCGCGGATCAAACGCATACATCAGACCAGAAATCATGTGTGTACATGTATGCATTATTCTACCGTGGCGGCATGCTTCAGACTTGCATGGCGCATGGTTGCGCTAGATGCATATGCATTCTTGACTCAATGCCCGGCCGACTACTTTTAAGTTTGAACTATTTCAACAACCTACACATGATAAAGTTAGACTCGGAGAAGCGCCCACAGCTTGTTATCCGGTTATTTGTAAAGCAAGTCATGGTGTTAATACAGACGCAAGCGGGGCATACACTGACCGATGCCGTCGGTATATGCTGTCACTCGATCGCTGCCAAAAACTTGTGCGAAAACAGAGCCGATCCCTTATGACCGAGATAAGAGACTGTGGATAAGAAATCTAGGCCAGTAAGCTTGAATGATATTGCCCGACGGTTCACACATCACGCTCAAAAGCGTTCCTGCTGGTGGCGCGGCCTTGACGACAAGTCGTTTGTGACGTTTTCATTTTAAGCCTATCAAACAGATGGACCAAACAGGCCGGTCTAACAAGTTAATAAACAAGGCTCCATAATCTACCGCCAGTCCGGTGCCAGTCGAAAAGCTAATGCGAGCGTACCAAAAGTAGTCAGTTGATATCTACCGGTCCTATGCTACGATAATTCGTGATGACGAAAACTCAAACTTTGGATGGAAGCGGTACAAACCTGATTAGAATTACTTCTCAGTTTTTGGACTCGTAAATAAAACACACAACGAAGCGCCACCAAGGTGTGCTCGACAACAGAATAAGCAGTAATCTCTTACTAGTCAAATACATCAGTGAATCTTGTACCTCTTCAAAACAAGATTGAAGCTCGCAAGCTTCGTATACGCCCTTTGCAGCAATCATCTTTCCCTCCTGACGGGACTGAATGTGGCTAAGGACCTTTCCGGGCTGGTGACAGCCTGCGATGGAACCAATAACCGACCGGAAAACGGAACGACGGAGGACGGACCTGCACTCGCAAGAAGGCACAGAGATTGGGACGGCTTTGCTAAGTGTCCAGCTTTTTGAAATGCGATGAAATGAGGTTTTAAACACGCGAGATTGCTTTACTGCTCTCGACTAAAGTGCGCAGCGTTTTGCAAGCTATTGTTCGGTTTGTGCGGAGACAGAACTGGTGTCGCTTTGAGCGTATATTTCTGGATCAGCTCTTCCACGAGTGCTCTGCTAGGGTGACGTCGAGGTTCAACTGGGTGAATAGAACTTTAGTGACAGTCCTAGCTCACGAAGTATCATCTTTTCAAATCGTTGCATTCGCACAAGCAAGAAGTGGTGACTTCACACCCAAAACGGAAAACACGTCGGAATCACTTATGGGGAAGCTTTCCACACCTGCTCGCTGCCTGAGGGGCGAAGGTGACCGCGGCGCAGGTGTGAACGGGCCCTTCCGCAGCCTGGGAGACATCGAAGTCGGGAATGGCTCGTAGGGCGCATTTTCATCGCCCTCTCCAAGCACGGACTCCGGACGGCCGTCGGGCGGTGAGAACAGGCGCCGCCTGGCGGGACTCATGGGTCGGGCTGCTCGGGGAGAGTCTGCACAAACAGTGAAAAACAGTTTGTTTCAACTTATTTCGTTCCTTAGATGTTTCAGCGGATTTTCGCTATCATGTGCGCTCGATACTTTGAGCAGAAGGCCTGCATGGGTATCCAATTGAACTTTATTTCGCAGCCGATGCAACTTCAAAATCTGCGAAGCTTCCAGGATCTTTATGGAGCTTTCCTGTAAAAGAGCAGACTCCTTTTTTCCACAAGAGCCGCACACTCATTGTTCGCTGCAACCCGCTGTCTACGCAGACAACGTTGTTGGCTCTTGCTTGAGGGTTGCAAAGAGTGTAAGGCCCGTCTCTCACCACAGCTACTCCAAGGGCTGTAAAGCGCGTTGCCACTTGCAACGTCACCACTCGGCTTATACCGACCATTAGCCAACTTCGCGTGCCCAGGCTGAGGTCCCGACGATGATCCCTCTTGTCCAACTTTCGCCTCTCCTACTTCGCCCTCGGTTACCCCCTCGTCGGGACCCTGCGGCGCATCCAACCGCGCCCCTCGCTGTCCTTTGACACCGTCCGGCGGCACATCTCCGCTGATGTCAGCAGCTTCCCCGCTGACGACGCTGACGTCAGCGAGCGCCCGGCGCTCCAGGCTGGTGGCGCGGACGAAGATGCCGTGGTTCGCGGGGCACTCGAAGTACGTGACGCCCTGCCACGTGCCGTTGTGCTTGCCGGCGGGGACGCCGAGCTCGACGCCGACCCACTCCCCGGTTCCGAAGTGGGTTAGGCCCTTGAAGCGGACGAAGCCGGGCTGGTTTCGGTGGGCAACTAGAACGGGGTCGCCCACCTGGAGGTCGGTGGGCAGCAGTACCTGCAACAAATTGTAAAGCTTGGTCACTGTCGTTTGCAAAGGGGTAACTGGTCACAAGCACCTGCATTGACAACCCTGTCACGGTAGCTTGAACCATCATCTCGTGAACTGCCAGGCTCGCGAAAAGAAGCGCCGAGCCGCTGAGTGGATCAATACTCATACACCCCGGCATGCAAGTGATAACGAAATGCCTGCCTTCAAGGCGATGCGGTTGTTTCGGATAGTCGTCACTTCTCCTCTGACCACGTAGATGGCTTTGACTCTGATCACCCAACAAATCTCAAACTTGCTCAAGCATCTGAAGTCCTCCAGTCCGTGCAGAGCCCCCCGGCTCACCTTGCTCCGTCCCTGGCTCCGGCGCAGCACTCGTTCTAGTTCCCCACCGATCCCTACCCCCGGAGATGCCCCCACCATTTTGCCGAGCGCCGCGCTTGCTTCCGCAACGGTCTTTAAGAGGGCCCCCAGCTCCTGGAAGCGCTCCTGGTTGTGCAATCGGCAGCAGCGACCCAGGATGTCCTCCAACTCGCTCACACGCGCGTTCAACGCTAGAGTATCGTCCGCCTGAGACAAGGACGAAAAGTCGGCCGACGGTCACCAGACGACGTAAGGAGAAGGGAGGGAAAGGGGCTTAAGAAAACCCACCAGGAGTTGGGCCTAAGGTGGCAAGAAGGAGGCGAAATGTGCGCTTCGGATTGCTCGAAGTGATTGGTGCAACGACTGAATATAGGAAATATCTGGTCGCACGCTGCAGGAAGCGGACAGGAATGGCAACACGAGAGACTGTTCACGAACAGACAGGCTTCCGGAGCTCCTTTCATTGCCATGAGGATTGTGCTCGGCGCGCACGAAAAGCAGTTGGTAAGTTCAGGAGCTGACGACACGACCGGCGCCAACGAAATATGCTTTCCAGCGACAGACTTCCTGTAGAAGGACAAGATCGGCAACTCGGTTCGTCGAAGCAACACGGAGAGTGGAAAGAAACACTCCAAGAGAAGTAGGTAAAGTAGACAGTGACGAAGTCGGCTGCAACCGGCCTCCCTTGTCATGATGCGCAGACAAGAAGTCACCACGAATTCTCCAACGGTAGTCCGTAGCCGACATATCCAGAGTTACTAAACATTCTATCATAGGTTCGCTTCCTCACCGGTTGCCCTGCGAACTGACCCCCCGGCAGCCTCCCCGTCAGCGACTCCCGCAGAAGGTCCTCTGGGCTGGTGTCCACTTTCAGGGCGGCGAAGCCCCGCCTCTTCAACTCCGCCCGAGCCAGCGCCAGCGGACTCAGTTCCGGTGTCAAAGAACCGGCCCCAGCGCCCACTTCAGAACTCGACACTCTCGCTAGAACCGAGGCCTTGTTCGCTCCTCCTCCTGTGGGCGATTTTGGCAACTTGTTCTTTTGAGAGGGAGTGGAAAGAAGGCCGAGGCGAGGAGAGGGCTGCGCTGAAGAGGGTTTGGAAGAGGGTTTGGGGGAGAGTTTGTGAGAGGGTTTGGGAGAGGGTTTCGGAGAGGGTCTGCCCCACACTCCAGGACTTCTGGGCGTAGGAGTGTTGGGCATAGAGTTTGGCCGCGACCTGAGCGGGCTCGAGGCTCGGGCATTTTGACGGGGGCTTTTGGCTACCAAGGGCTTATTTACACTAGGGGCTGTAAGATTCGGCTTGCTGGGGGTCTTCGGGCTGGCACTGATGTTGCTGGGAATTGACGACTTTGGAGAGGATTTGACGATCGCCGGTTTTGTCCGGGGTGTTGAACCGGGGGTTGCCAAGCCGGTTAACGTAACCCCGGAAGGGCTGGCCGGTTTCTTGTTGGCTGCTGCGCTGGACTTTGGCGTGGAGGCTTCTGGCACCGTCCCCTTTGGCAAGGCCTTTGGAATTTTGCTAGGAGGGGTTGGCTCTGCTTTGGTGGTGTTGCATCGCGGTGAGAACGCCTTCCGAACAAGCCCACTTGACAAGGGACTTGTTGTCTCTGATGGAGATTGGCCACCTGCAAACGAACATTCTCGATTTGGGTGAAGGACGAAGAGCCTGAAATCCACGAGATAAGCCGGAGCGTCTGGTCTGCAGAGATGCAGGCTCTTGCAGCTTGCACATAACTGATGTATGACTTCCAACAAGCAATTGCTACAGAAGCACTGTGCACCGAATTGCTTATCGAAAAGATATATCGAGTCGGTGGAAAATGCGCCTGCAGCTGTGGGTCATCCCAGTTCGAAAGTTTAGCATGTTGATACCGGAATTAGATTGCCAACCCCAAACCGATGACGAACAAGCGGCAACCCGGAAGTTGCATCTGTCACAAGAAGAAGAGTCCATCACAGAGACGGACCAGCTGATATGCACACAACTCAGATTTACGTTTTCCGGAAGCAAGTTTCTTGACCGTCGCGGCCCCCTTTGCCACCGTGCTTCTGTCCGCTTGCTTTCTCACGGGCCCCTCTAGTCCAGCCTGCTCTCGTATCGTTCCCAGCACCGCCGGCTTGCTTTGCCGCCCCATCCCTAGTTCCTCCCACCCCGCCGCTTTCCTTTCCCCACCACTGTTGGGATTCTGCAAACCGTTCCTCGCTGCGGCAAAGTTGAACCGCCTCTCGCCTGCTTCCCGCCTCTCCCCCGTGGCCGTCAGTCCGTTCCTCTTCGTACCTGGAATCGTGCCACGTGTCAGCCCCGCAGTTGTTGAACTGGCCGCCGTCTGCGGCCTTCCGGGCACGGTGGCTGACGTCATTCTGTTTGCAGCGGCCAAAGTGCTCTTTGGCGGCGCTGAGGTGGGGCGCTTTGACAGGGACCCCTCGGACGGTTTCGAAGGTTTGGGTTCGGTCAGCGGGGTTTGGCGCTTAACCGGGGTTTTCAGGGTCGATGTTGGAGAAAGCCCCCAGGGGACCCGGTTCTGTTTGGGCGTGACCAGGGGAGTTCTGGGGCTGGGCTGTGAGGGCGTGCTGGAGGCAGAACTAATCGAACTCGCTTTAGAAGGCGTCCGCGCTTGCGCACTGGGGACCCCTAAGGCGGCAACCCGTTTCTGAAACGCGCGCTGCTTGACAACTGACGACTCTATCCCGTCCTGCTGCAACGCGGGTGACGCTCCGCTCCGTCTAACAGTGAGCTCTCTACGAGCCGTTTGCACGCTGTCGCTGTCCTGCCTGAATGCTGACGTCATGCTGTCATCACCGGCAACACTGCTGGCTGCGACTACTGAGGGCGGTCCTGGCTGTCTGTTAGCGCTGTTTGCGGCTGTCTGTGCTGCAGCGCGGCGGTCCAGACTGTCTGTTACAGCCCCTTGTGACGTCACATCAGCGTCGGGGCTGTCCGATTCTAGTACATGTCTACTCTCGGTCATCCGCGAAGTCCCCCCCGGGACTAGCCTGTCCTGTTGCGCAGTGCTGTCAATTGCCGATTTGACTTCTCGCTCTGTGAGGTCCCCTACCTCTGATTCAGTTGGAAAGTCGCCTACTTCTGATTTCGTAGCAAAGCGACCATCCCCCCCCATCCACATGCCGTCCTTCGAAGCCAGGGCATCCAATTGCTCAACCCTAGCAGCGGCGAATTGCTGCCCGGCAGTCACAGCCCCCGTTCCTGATCCACCTCCCAAAGTCTCTTTTCGAAGCCCAACCTCTTCACCCGGCTCAGCTTCTACCTCCGCAAAGGCCGCCCCCCGTTTGCTGCCAATCACGACCTGCGGTGAAGCAGAGGGCTCCGGCCCAAACCCGTCCACGCTTCCGCTCTTCCGGACAACGCCGTCCGCCGAGTTTCTCAAAAGCGAGGCCCCGAGACTCTCCCCGTTCCGCACCAGACTCTCCGCGGACTTCCGGAGCGCGGCTCTCGCCAAGTCGTCGCTCCGGCGCGGCTCGTCAGTGTGAATCGGCTCCTGAGAGGCTTCATCAGTGAGAATGGACCCTTCGGAGGTGGGCTCGACTGGCGTGTCTTGGTGTATGATCTCCGAGAAGATTTGCTCATGTGGGATGGGAAGAGGCGCTTCAGGAACGGCCTGTAGCGCATTGAGGCGCTGCCGGCAGGCGGCGACGTGCGGGGCTAAGTATGGGTGCTCGAGCAAATCGTCCACCTGCGGAGAAATTGATGGCGGTTCAGAAACGCTCGGCTCGGGACTCGCAAGTCGAATCCATCTTTTTTTGGCCGCAAGTACTGCGTGAGACTAGAGCAGAGAATGAGGAGACCCGAAGATGAGCTGCCTTGTCTCGTCTGCTGGTGTCTGCAAACTATTGGGCCTGTCCTCGGAAGCTATCCACGATCCAAGAGAGCGTATATCAGGGTTCGGACTTTCTTGTTCGGGCCCATACCGTCCGTGGTAACACGTGAGTGTCTTTGACAAAGCAAAGTATCAGCGCTACGCGCTACACAGACGTCAAATGTAAACCCCGCAGGTGTTCAAAGGGCGTCAACAAGTTCGAGCAAGCGCACTATCGTTTTCAAGAATGTTGGAAATGGAGGCAGATTTCGACTTGCGGAGGGGGTTCTCAAATCCTGGTGAGGGGTTGTCGCCTGCGCTTCACAGAACTTCCCTCTATGTTCTCACTTGACGACGAAGTTACGTACCTACATGTCAAGCATTTCAAACAGCAGAAAGAGCGAAACAAGTATGCCCAGACTCGTCAGACCGGGTCTCCGAGGTCTTCGAGCCTGCGGTTCCCAGACAAGCGTACAAAAATCGAAAGCAAACGCTTCAGGGTAATAGTGGCATCCAAGCCAAACTTTCTAGAGCGTCAAGGAGCGCCGACTCTCGGGACCTACCGAGGGCCGTTGCTCGGGAATCTTCCGCAGCATGCTCTTGATGACCGCTTTCCAGTCTGCGGAGTACTCGGACGGGAGCGGCGGCAGGGTGCCCTTCGTAATCTTCTGGATCAGCCCCTGTAGAGCCACGCCGACCAGAGGATCAGCGGTGGAAAAGCATCGCGAGGGAGCATGGTACGCATGCGCAACAGATTAGTATGTCTCGAGCCGGAATCAATCGACTTATGGAAGGGTTCTGTAATCACGACTGACCGGAGCTTGTAGCAGCAGCGTCGTGTCCATCCAATGATAGTCCAGATCAATACCTTGATTGGTGATAGGCGGTCGCATGTGGATGCTATGCGCACCAAAGCTGGCAGCAACGGAGAAACAGTCCTCAACCACGTTCTAAAAACTACTCACAGGACCCCCGAACAGAATCGACAGTCCTTTTTTTGAAGCTTTACAATGGAGGCCTTGAAGGACGCTGCAATCATGCAGGAGCAAAACCCTACCTGACTGCATAACATATGACAAATCTACCCTAGGCGCCTAGGCTTTGCTTAAGTGCCACGGCCGCTGACCTGCATGTCGAAGGCCTTGAAGGGCGGGCGGTGCCCCGTGAGCTCGTACATGCAGCAGCCGAGGCTCCAGACGTCGCTCTTGAAGCCGTACGGCTGGTCCGCCAGCAGCTCCGGGCACATGTAGTTGGGCGTGCCCACCACACTAGTTGTCAGCTGGTTTTCCTCGAGCACGCGCGCCAGCCCGAAATCGCCGATGCGGACGTCGCCGTCGCGCGTGAGAAACAGGTTCGAGCACTGCGGAAAGGGGTTGGAATTGGCGGTGCGTGGGTGAATGAAGGCGGACTTGACTACTGCACTTCTCATGAACAGGTGCAGAGTGAGAGCGAGTGTCGATGACTGGATGTGGGTCTCCGAAATGGTATCCTGTACTCGAATCTGCAAGACCAGATTTGAGCATTGCAAGAGCCAGAAACATTGACTATAAACGACAAGGACCCAATAGTTGCAAGGGTTTTTGTTTCAATCTGCCCTCCTCCTGTCTGGCTTCAGCATTGTTTTCCAATTTAAATATTTCGTTCAGGAAACGATGAAAGCCTCAATCGAAGCGGGCAAACTTCAATTACAGCCTCCACCATTCAGGGACCAGAAGCGGCTCTGACAAAGCTGACAGAAAAGCTGCGTCAGCAGTCAGATTCTCAAAGCCCCAAAAGCTCGTCATCAGCAGAACACAGCTAACCGCCCCGTCACTTGAACTCGGCCAACCAGGATCTTTACCTTGAGGTCTCTGTGCAGGACTTTGTGCGCATGCAGGTATTGCAGCGCCAGTAGAATCTGGACGAACCACTTGATCAGCCGGCCTTCCGAGAACAGGCGCCCATCCGCGCGCCGCAGCAGGTCTGCTACGTCGCCCCCCTCGCAGTAGCCGGTGACGATGCACACGTAGACCCCCTTCTCGACCCAGCAGTCGCGGCAGCTGACCACGTGGGGGTGGTCCAGGCTGGACAGCAGCCGCATCTCCTGGTACGCAGACCTGGCGACAGGAGTGAAAACGGATGATTCTCGGTCAGGGGGGCAGGAAAAGATTTTGGAGAATGAGAAGAGCAAGAAGGCTTTCCAGGTAGGCAAAGGCGTATGCGACTTGGAACGCTGACGCACTTCATCAGGTGGTCCGCATGAAGTGTTGTACCAGTTCATCCTCGTGACAGTCCTATTTGCAGAGGTCCTTAGCGCCGCGACGCGCAACTTGTATGATGAGTGACTTAGACTTGCCTGGGGACTCATTGCGTCACTCGTCAGCCCTCACTTTTCAACACGCTTGAATGTACGGGCAGGTTGTGACATCCAGTCAAGCCTGGACGCTTTACATAACTTTACGTATCATGCTGTGATGAATAGTACTTAAAGCATCACGGGGTCTGTCATCGATCGAGCCCTCACCTTTTAGCGCGCTCCGATGCGCGGGCGAGGCGGATCTTCTTCATGACGTACTTGCAGCGCTCCTGCCGGTGAATAACTAGAATGGCGGCACCAAACGCCCCCTTCCCCACCTGCTCCAGCACGTCATACTGGTCTATCCGCGACTCGCCCTTCCCCGTATCCTGCTTGGGTCCACTGCTAGCAGAAGCCATGGCTCCTGACTTGACTGCCTACCCTCAACTGGTCTTGGCAACTAGGCAGTCAAGCGCCTGCTTCTGTGTCAACCCGAGGTTGGATGCTTTGGAGCCAGGCATGATCGGCACCTTGCGCTCAAGTTCCAACCTCATTCTAATGCAAATGAAGAATCCCGCAGCGACAGGTGATCTAGAGACTTTACCTAGAGTGGCTCCCTGATAAGCTTGTTTCAATAACTGGCTCGGCAGTTGTCTGGCACTTTCTCAAGAACTAGACATTACCCCCAAGTAGTAAGCCAATCTTTCGTTTCTCATATGAGACCCTCTGATCTATCCTATGTCATGGCTACCTGGTCACCTCAGCCCAGTTTGATGAGTGCTTCGAGCTGCATTGGCCCACATTACTGTCATAGGGCTTTGTCAACCTGCAAAGACCAAGAAAATGTTGGATTCTCTGAAAATCGATGGCTTACACGCGACGTTGATGCAAATGACAAGGATGGCAGTCTGCAATAAGAGCGCCCGACTTTGTGCCTGCAGGAGCTCAAGATCCGGCTGTTGCAACGGCTGCAAAATCAAGTATTTTCACTGACCTTCCAGGCTGCGCATCCATGTTCTTTCAAAGCACTAGCGCCAAACATTACTGCCCATTGCTATTTACCAACTCTTTGCTGAAACTGAACAAGCATCTGCACCAGCATGGTCAAAGTGCAAGCATTTTCACTTTTATGTATAAATCTTCCAGGTTGAGGGGGCCAAATACGAAAGGCAGCGCTTCAACAATCCGCCTAGATCCAATGCAGTCAGCTCAGACTAGAGCGAAGATCACCAAACAGGGGGAATGCGGGCCATGTCTGAACCTTTTGCTGCACCTACCAATCTCGCTTATTCGGACGGTGGCGCAATGCCAATGCTTCCACTTCCACTAGGTCGTACCCACATTAACCCCTCAATGATGGAAAAAGCCTGGGAAATCGTACACATGTGTCCCGCCTTACCTCAAAATAAAGTCTCCAATGCTGATCAGCTGCAACTCCCCTCCGCCAGGCGACTTTTCTAAGTCCTAGTCCGTCCATTGCCCCCCCATGGGCCCGGGATCACACTGAGATCAGGAGGGGGGACGGAAACTTGCACATGACTCATTGGCATTGTGCAAGGGGGAGACCTTGTCGCGTGGGCCGCTAGCTGCTGCCTGACTTTTAGGGTTTGCACCGCGGATAACAAGCTGTGAACCGATCGGTCCCCCTGCGGGGGACCGTAGCTTGCCTGTGAAATCCGGTATCGTGAATCTGGGTTAACGCGAATTACTGTAACTTACATTTCCGAACCCTATTTACAGCTTCTTCCGAGCAACCTGCCAGTTTTAGTGAAATTTTTAGACTAACTTAGTCAGTCTGTTGTTGAGTGAGATTAGTCTAAAATAGATGACACTAAAACTGGCCGGTTGATCGGGCGAAGCTGTAACCGTATGTGATACCTATGCTGAGTCAAAAATGATCGACTGAGTCGTTACGAAGATGGGGCGGTGCCAACACTAGTGATCGGCCAGGGTTAGCGGTGCATGGCAGAGTCGGAAATCCCGAACGGATCATCACTTGTTCCTCCGCCGGCCGCCTGCATGCGGGGCCCATGCACCTGCCTTTGTGTGGTATCGAAATTTGGGCCGTCCGATGACTGCCTTGTCGTCAATCGCACCGTGACAGTCTAAAGTTGCGCGCAGCGGTTTGCGGCCCGGCGCCCCACGCCGTCACGGTGAAGCGGCTCGCCCAGCTCTCCCGGGCAAATTTTCCTGCTGACCAACCTTCTTCCGATAACCTAACCGATCGTAACCCCGCATACTATCAAAGATGCCCATCAACACTAACCCCGATAAGTAACCCAGATATACCAGCTAACGAAGCAGGTGAACCCACCGAAGCACGTCAATATAGTCTGGCGGTCCCAGACTGCTCCGGATATTGCGGAACTCGGCCCGCAAAGTGCGGAGCGTCAGGAGCTTTTTTCCGACATACAAAAAAGTGCCATGCATGTCGCGCCGCGCGCGACCGCAAATCGACCAAGCCCGACCAAGACGAATGGCACTACATGCTACGCATCGAAATTCGGCTAAGCGAACGGCCAGTCCAAAATCGTAGGCTGATGCGGCTGGTCGAACTTTTGTCAGTTACCAAAGGCTATAGGTTGCCTTTGAAAAGGCAAGCCAATATACAGGATAGCGGAAAGTGACCGGAAATCCACCTGGGCACTCCTGATCCGCTGCGCTACAGGGGCGATTCCGGTCACCAAAAGCTGTGCAGCGGAGATGGACAAGTTAGTCCTAAAGGGAGAGATCAGATCCCAGGCAAAATGCACCACACACACCGCCGCATTGCACACCAGGGCGCTGGGAATGGCAGTGATTGGCAGTGAAGGCCGCAATGGAAGATGATCTATGAAGGATCCAGAGGTCTGTTAATGCTCCATAGACATCTGCACCGTCTGAGTCATTGGTGCGCAGCGGAATGTGGCGGCTGCGTGAGGCGCTATGTTCAAGTTTAGGGGTTACCTGCTCTGGCTGGCATGCTCCATTCTCGCCCTGTCGTTCATAATCAATGCCGGCCTGCCTTGGCTGCTCTCCTGCGAGGGGTCGCTCTGGTTGAATGGGGGTGTCACTCCTTCGGGAGGCCCATTAGGGGTTGTCCTCCCTTTCAATGCCAAGGAACTACCACGTGTCATTGATGCGTTGAAAAGTTGGCCCTATCCCTGCACCACAGGAAAGCTCCAGAAAGACTCCGTTCTGATCCTTTATGGGGACGCTGACCTCAGTGTCAGCTCGGAGGCGGGAAGCCGCCTGCGCAGCGAGGTGGCGCGGGTGCAGGGGGTTGGTCAGTGCTTTGGAAATGTCGTCTACCTGACGCTGCCGCCTTATACGGATGGGGCCATGATCTATGATAAGCGGGAGGAGGACGGGGAGATCGGGCGGGGCCGCAACACTCTGTTTTACACCTTTATGCTTGAGCTGATGTCAGCAAATGGATCGGAGGTGCACGGATTGGGTCTGCGCCATGTCCTATGGATGGAGCCTGATGTGCAAGCAAGGGCCCCGGTGAGTACTGGCAGGGGTTTGTGTCCGCTTTTGTTCATTGACTGGTGGCGTTCCCTGATAAACCGTGGTCCACTCAACCGAGGTCTTGAGGTCGGCGCTGATCGGTTCAGGAAGCATTCATGAAGCTGCACACTTACTGTTTTGCAAACTGATTAGGATAGAAGCACCTTCTGCACCTTCTGGTTGGAGCAGCAACAAACCAGGTCTTTCTTCGATCTGAAAAGGGACAATGATAACTCTCCTTGTCACACAAAAGAAGAACTGCTTTGATGGTGGCAGCTGAGCAAGTATTTTTTTCACACACTATCTGCTGCAGAAAGTGCTTGGTTTGAAGTGCTCTTATTCATGTCGAACCCCACTCGCAGAGATGCAAGCTCATATCAGCATGCCAATCCAAAATGTTCCGTTATGGGAAGGAACAAATCGCCTCACATGAACAAAGATTGAGAACTCTGGAAGGCTAAGAAGAGAACAGAATGATTAGTAAGCCACTTGTCAATGTTGCCAATTGTCAGCTTCTCAGAATGCATCAGGAGCTTCTCATGCATGCACTGCTGGAATCAAGTATGTAAGTGAAAAGCAATAGACATAGTTGATCATGCCTCATTCCCTCCCTTCCCTCCCTTTCCCTCCCTAGCCGAAAGGAGGGACCAAGTGCATTTCAGCAACCATGAGATTCAGGATTTCTGACTTTTTGAGAGGATCATGTTATGGAAATTGTATGAAGTGCTCAGAGACCAATGAGTCCCTTCCCACAGGGCTGGCTGGAGCGCGTGCACCGCGAAGCCGCGCGCCCGTTGTACTGGATCCAAGGCAGCAGCTACCGCGGCAAGTGCCTCCCCAATGAGGCCGACGGCACCTGCAGCTGGGTCGGGCGCGACGCGCTCGGCTACATTGGTGCGAACGCCCTCTACCACACAGCAGACCCGGACCTGCTGACCCTTCTGCACGACACCAGCCGGGGCCCATTCGCACTTCGCCCGTTCGACCGCGCGATCTACCAGCACCTAAGCATGGCCTACCCGGAATACCGGCACAGGGATGCGATGCACTTGTACGAGAGGGTGGATTGGGTGCGGGACTACGGGCGGTACCCTGCGCCCGAGCGAGTTCCGGAGCACGTGATTTTGCTGCATCAGGAGCACCCGGTGTTGGAGGAGGTGGGGGATAACTATGTCGCCGAGGCGGAAAACGATATCGACAAGGGGTTGAAGGCGGAGGACTTTCAGGAAACGGCGTTGAACTTGCAGCAGGAGCTGCTGCAACTGCAGAGCGGAACGGCCCAGGAAGGTGAGCTGACTCGTCAGAACGTGATGGAAGATGCCGTCGAGCTTTGTTGGCTGATGAGTTCTGCACGTGATTGGGACAATCTCACAAGAATTCGATAAAAGCTACGTCTTAAGCTCGCTCGAACCGCTCCTCTTGTAAAAGTTCGTACAGACATTGCATTCGTCCTCAGCTCCCCATCATCTGTTCACTTCCTTTATCCAACCTCGGTGCAGCCTCTCTTTGGGTCTTGTTGAAAGTCCGCTGAGCTTCGAAGGTTTGCGGAGACATGCAGTACCCACCCGAGACTTCCTCCTTTTGAATTTTTTTCGAAGCTGTGCAGCACGGCAGACATCCTGCTAGTTTAAATTTGTTTGTCCACCAATCTGCTGTCCTGAGCAGATGCAGGTTCTCGTCAGGTTCCTATCTACAAGGTTTTCGTTATTCAATCAGCGTCTTCAAACCAGGAGCAATTGATTGTGTCAACAATCTCAAAGTAACCCGCTCCTGTCTCCAGGTGACGACAGCCCCCTGAAGAACCCGCCCCGCGACCGAACCCTCACCGCCGCGCTCGCCAAGGTTGCCACGCCCCGCAAGCAGATTTTGCTCGTTCTAGTTAGTGACGGGTACCACGACCTCCTCGCTAACTTCCTGCACTTCGCCTCTAAGCACGACCTTTCTCGCCACACTCTTGTGGCTGCGCTCGATGTACCCTCGGTGGCGCTTCTAAAACGGCCGTCCGGGGTTACGGCCTGGGTTGACCTAACCGACCACGAGTTCCGCGGCGAGGGCGTGCCGCCGTTCGATCCGGCGGACCCCGAGGGAAGCCTAAAGGTCCTCCGCCTGAGCCTGATGCGCAGGTGTCTGGTGCAAGGCTATAGGGTACTGAGCTCGGACCTCGACGTCGTGTGGCTCAGAAACCCGTTTCAGGCCGCATACTTCTCAGACGAGTTGGATTTTTGGATCCAAAGCGACTCGCACACTGGGTTCGTCGAAACCACCAAGGGGGGCCTCCGGGAAGTCTTTGTGTCTGCGGGACTTTCGTACGCTGTACCCTCCGTTCGGACCATCCGATTCCTAGCCGCAGCACGGCACATGGCTCGCGAACATCCGGAGCTGAGCGAGCAGCAAATCCTGCGGTTATCGTTAACGGTCAACCGTTACCGGTTGCGCTGGCGCGCACTGGAGCCCGCACTGTTCCCAAACGGCTTCCTCTACTGGGAGCAAACCTTTCCGCAGTCGCTCGGGGTCCAGCCGATCGCAGTGCACAACAACATGGCCGAAAGCAAGGCCGCGAAAGTGTACCGGTTCCGGGAGGCCGGTTTTTGGAGCGCGGACGAGGCGCTAAGCCCGGAGGCCATTCGCACCGGCGAGAAGAAGTACCTGGCATACATGGGCATGGTGTTCGACAACGGGCTGGGGAATAGGCGCGTGGAGCTGAGGCAGGCGCTGGCCATCAGCGAGGTGAGGCTCAACTGGAGGTTATGGGGGCATGACATAGCCTATGGGAGGCGCTTACATGTCAGAACAAGAAGCTCCCGTGCTGGCGTGCTGTTGAAGTATGCGTCATATTCGCTATGTCAGTTGTCACGTGTCAATCCGCAGTGTTGGGCCCGGACATGAGTTGCATCCGCATTGTTCTTCTTTTTGGTACAGCAATATGTGAAGCGTTGCGCTTCAATACGAAAGCCGCCCGTGTTCGGAACGCACGGCCTGATACTTTGAGATTGCTGCAAGTCCGTTTCAAAACACAGAAGAACAGCGTACTTACACACAGTGGGTCCCACGACTCTCTGAAGTCGCCTGGACAGCACGTCACGACAGCTCCCTCTCTTCATCGGCGAGCGCTCCTCTCAGAGCCATTTGACAACTTCAATCCGAATCGTGTAGACTGTCCTCGTCTCACTACCACCTCGATTGAAGTCCTCAAAGAACCGTCCACAAAAGTCTTTCTTTCAATCCTTCAAATCAAAAGGTTTGAGTCCGAGAACGAGGCGGAAACACATAAAATTGCACTCCCAGGCCTTACATTCTCGGACGTCCCTTTTGCAGCTGCTGGGCCGGACGCTCATTCTGCCGGTGCTGCACCGAGAGCACGAGGAGGACACCCCGGTCACTGTGGACTACTTCTTCGACTTCGACACGCTCACCGCCCACTTCCCGGACGTCGAGCCGCGCAGCCTGCTGGAGCGCGCGTTCCCCGACTGGCAGACGATGCCCGTGCACGACATCGACATCAAGCTGGCGCTGCCGGAGAATGTCACGGCGACGGGGCGGCCGCAGGTGAGGCCACGTGGCCTGGCGCCTACTTCCTTTCATAGCATGTTATTCTTCTGAATCTGGTGGCCAGAGAGCATAGCAGCCGCCGAGAATGTTTGTTCTGCCGAAACCTCGCTCCAGGGCTTCTTTCGTGGCGCTTTATCATAGTATTCGGAGTGCCAAGTTCTGAAGGGCAGCGGCAAGAGTAGGCTCCTTCTGAGGTGTGTCTTTCAAGAGATGGAACGCAGAGGTCCATTCAGCAGCGTGTTTGAACCACTGCGCACAAACAAGACCGTCACTTGGTCATCATGCACTTTTACAAGCGTCAGTCAATCACCTGCTTTCTCCTGCCTCACCCTTTGACGCCTAAACGCAGCCGCCAGGGGGTGGTGACGTCAAACATTGTGGTACTGACGCCAGTTTGCTTGTGCAGGACGTGTCGTGGGAGGAGCGGTTGCAGCGAGTGGAGGGCGAGTGGCACCCCAACGGCGCCACCCCGGCGGAAATCCTGGGATGGTACGGCGACCGGCAGGAGCCGCTGCTGGTCTTCTACAGCACATTCAGGAGGTGAGAGATTTCTGGCTAGACGTCCAAATCCCCATGCCTGGTAGAACCATTGAGGGCTGAAAAACTCTCTGCGGGTACACGAGTGATTGTGAATCTTCCGGGTGTTTTTCTTCCCGTTGATAGCCGTGCGGGCTCATCAGAAAGGGCGATGCGAAGGATTGACGTGGAAGATTAGGAAGCACGACAACGTGCTCAGATCGAAAATTACTGCGAGGGCGGCTCGTCATGATTTCCTCTCCTTTGAAGTCTACGTTTTGTAGCCAAACTGCTTCTTCAAAAGTTGCTAATAAACAGAGAGCTCTATTACCAGAGCGCCGCGCCAACTGCAACCCCAATTGGGCTCGGCCAGGATAACCCTGCGTCGTCCGATCAGCTACGGCGTTGCCGTATTGCCGGACCCTGTCTCGAAGAGCTTCCATGGGAGATTCAGACCCGACTTCTTCGTGCACCAACCCTTTTCCCATGTTGGAGCGCTCTCTTTTGACTTTTGCTTGCTCGGGTGCCCAGGTTTGGCGGCTTCGAGGACAAGAAAAAGGATGCCGACTTTGAGGAACGAGTGTTCCAGGGCATTGTCCCAACCAGGAAGACGAGAGAAGTCGCAGACAGCATACACGTGGCAGTCAAAGCGGCTGCCAGGCAGGCGGCCGGGAAGGACGAGTTTAGCTGCTTGCATGTCAGGTACGTCACTTCCGTCGCGCTGCTGAGGTTGACATAGATCACTAGTCGGTTGAGTTGGTTGGAACGCCGAGGTGACGTTTACCTTACCTCTGAAATCATCTGGCAAGTCGCGACTTGCATAATCCAAATGCTGCATACTGATCAAAATACGCTTGTGACGCTACAACCGTTAATGAAACGGGCTTATGATATGCTGGAAGTTGAGCAGATTCGCTTCGTTGCTACACTGGTGTTGAAATGCCCTGCGTCCGGGTAAGTTGTCAGAATGTGAGCCCACAGCTTTCCTCCTCACCAATGTTGCTGTTCCGACTTGCAGGCGAAAGTCGTTCCTGGTCGTGCACTCCGGCACCGAGAAGCCCATGGCCGAGCTGGTCAAGCTGCTCCCGGATCACCTCCCCCTCGACCGGGCCCTCTATGTAACGACGGACGATCCGTCGGAGGACATGCGGTCGACGCTGGAAGCAGCCGGCTTCCCAAAAGTGATGTTTATGGGCGATTTCTATCCGCCGTGGCACCGTAGTTTAGTGGAAGGAACCACGGGCGCAAAAACCATGCGGCATGGGCAGATAGATCAGTTGGTGTGCGCGCAGGCGGAGACGTTTGTCGGGAACGAGTACTCGACGTTCACGTTCCACATCGCGTGGCTGCGGGAGCGGTATGGGAAGAAGCAGGTGTGTCGGGATATCTATGGGCGCGAGAAAACGCCGGGCATGGTTTACCAGTAGGAGCTCAGGAGATGCAGGTATGTGCGTTGTCTGCATACGTGTACGATACCTCAGTCGCAAGCCGCCAACGAGGCCCCCTCCGAGTCACAAATTGCACCGCTAAAGTGCAATCCAACTAGGCTGTCAGTCGCAGGGTCTAGATCTCGCCCAGGACGGACTTGAACACCGATCAAGAGCAGAGCGCGAACCCGGATCAACGAAGTGATGGCAGCCATTAGGAGCTCTGAAGTTTAGGAGCGTAGCTAGCTAGCTAGCAAAGCCTGTCGTTGCACGTGTTTGAGGCACCAGGTCACGAGCAGCCAAGTTAAAGTGTCCGGTCGCGCTGAAATGTATTCATCCAACTAATCATTAACTATAGGTATATCACCTTTTGAAGTCCAACAGCTTTATCCATCAAAATTATACTCTTTCAAGTAAAGGCATGTCAGAGAGCTGATGGAGCTACGGTCACATCATCAATCGATAATGCGCTGCTAGTCATGATTGCTCATATGAAAAGGATAGCCCTGAGTGATCATTTTGAAACCCCCATACAAGTCGTTGCACGTTTCAAATAAGCTAGTTGTGTAACTTGAACGATCTGCATGCACTGATGACTCGGACTTTTGGGAATCGTGATCGTGAAATTGCAATTCTACGCGTACATATGTGGCACGGCATATATGGATCAACGATCAATCGGTCAAGTCAATTGCACGTCTTGGCGCGCGCAGTCGATGCAAGACCCACGTTCTGAGATCGATCAAGCTAGAATTCGATCGGCTTGCATATATATATAATTGCTGATATCGATCGGTGCGTGCCAATGCACGTATGGGCTGCCGGGTCCGTTCAATCAGTCCAACTAAGTCGTACGTCGCATGCATGACATCAAGACTCAGCTTTATCAAACGTGAGTATCCGATCATTTCCACTCATGCAGAGCCTTGCGTGATAGCTTTCATCTTCAGGCTAATTGGCGGTTCATTGGATTTGGATTTGTTTCCTCTACTGTCTTCATGCACGATGATCGATTCATTAGTTGCCGCAGTGCATGAGTCTCTATTTTCCGGTCGACGCTTAGTAGGCTTCTCTAGCTATGTTCTACCATAGAGACAATTCTAGTGGCCACACCTGCCGCACACATGCGCGGCATGTATGACAATTCACCGCCGATACAAAACTCTAGCTGGCAATTAGCTTGTCTACATTCTAACGTCTCCATGCACAACGGAGCTGTTTTTCACTAGCATTAAGTTAGCAGTCACTATGTATGGTCGAGAGGCGGCTCGTCACCTTCCTTCTAACTCAGTTATCTGTCCTGACCAAGCAGACCGGTTGAACTCAATATCTTGAGTCGTTGAGACACCAGACGAGTTTGACTCGGTGTAATCTAGACCTCGCCGGTAAAAGTCGCTTTGCGAGAATGGGTTAAGCATAACCCTTTTTGACAAGCACCCATCGCCGCTCAGCGGGCGAATGACAACTTCCCTCCCTTCCGAGCTGGAACTACTTGACGTTACCAGGACCCCTTCCTCGATCCGCTCTAGTTCGATGCGCACATCGCTTATGGTAGGTCGGCGCCTAGGGTCCTTTTTTATACACGCGAGCGCCAACTTGCAGAACGCGTCTAAGCTGAAGGCCGGGTATTGATTCACCATACGAGGGTCGGCAACGGACGCGATGTCGCCCTCCAGAAACAGAGGGATCACCTGCGGAAACATAAGAGAAGGAATAGCAGAAACATATCATAGAAAAAGTATCAGGCTCTCAAGCAACATCAGACGCATATCTCAGCGGCTTAGTCTGATGGGCAGCGGAATATTACTACCACCTTGTGCTCAAGAATCGCCCATGGAAGGTCCTTATCTCTATGTTGAAGGTCAATGTTCGGATGAATTGCGCACAAATGCTGATGGCCACAGACTGCTGAGAATATTTACTGACCTGTAACCAGAAATACATCCGCCCGCCTCTTCGCTTCTCCCGGACGTGCGTCAATCAGAATGGCCAGCCTTAACGCTGCAACTAAGTCTCCTCTTCCGCTGTCGTTTCTAGTTACCATTCATCCATCTTTCGGCGACAATCTTTGAAAACGAGTAACAAAAAGCGGTGTGCTGTCTCACCCACGCGAGCAGGTTCGTCCGCTGTCCTTCGCCGTTGATGCCAATGACTGGTTTCCCGGTGGCTAGCTCCAGCAGGCAGATCCCAAAACTGTAAACATCTGCAATCGAGGACTCGTCGTCAACGCCTTGTGAAAGCAGACCATGAGACTCGTCAAGAAAACTCTTCCAAGTGCAAATGTCTGGAAAGCGAGCGGAAGTAGAACGGTTGGACAGTTGAGCAACAGAGGCCGCGAGAACGAAACACGACCATGCGCCAGTCTGGATCGATTAGCTCGTGTTTAGGGACGAGCAAACCTTTGCTATTTGTCGAGACCGTGCTAAATCTTCATAAATGCTTTGCAACGTAGACTAGTTTACTTAGCAGGCCAGCCTTTGGGCTCCTACAGATGTTGACACAGTGCTTTCATCGAGTTGATTGATGCCAGACTGAGGGGCCAAGCAGACTCACCGGATGCGGTCGTCAGCTCGTTGTACTCCACATAGTTCGGATCCAGATAGCCTGCGGCAGCAACGACGAAAACCTCAGTCCTCAAACTAAGGAGATCCTGGCAATCGAACCTCTCAGTAGAGATCGCAAGCGAGAGCACAGCCGAGTAAACGGTCACTGTACATGTTCCATCAGCGGACGTCATGGTTTTGCGAAAATTGCTCATTTGCGGCCACATTCTCCATACACTAAACCTCCTATCGGCCGTTTGTATCGGCTCACTCTGGGGACTACGGTGGAGCTGTCGCGATCGGACGCAGATTGAGCGCATTGCCTTCCGGACATGAGACGACGCTCGTCGTCTCTCAAAGCTTTTTCATTTGCAATGCGTCAACGAGACAATCTGCTGGAAAGCCTCACCTATGGTCCCCTTGACTCCCGTGGCCCCCGCGTCGAAGTCCGCCTCCATTTTGCTGATCCCAAAGTCGCCCACCTTGGCGTTGAATTGTGCGTCTAGCAGAATGTTGGTGCACTTGACGTCTGCACACGTAAACGATTGGAGGCGTTCCGGAAGAGCAAACTCGACGCGTCATGTCCTTCGACGGCCGATTTTGCATTGGAGCGTTAAAGAATAGCTCAAGGTTTGTACTGACGGATAAACGTGGGGCAAAGCAGCAAAGAACACGCGAAGGTGAAAGAGAGAATCGCAATGGAATCGCGCATGAGGTCCCAACACAAAACGTCGCTAAGGAGACGAAGTGCATAACGCAGATGTTTACGTACCTCGATGTATGCACGGAGGCTCCACCGCCGTGTGCAGATACTCCAGACCTGCAAGGACGAGGCCAGCTGACGTCATGCTTCGCTTGTCGCGAGACCTGCGTGGTGCAGACATCAGGGTAGCACGTTCCTTGTACGTTTGCAACCGTGGCGTAAAATCTTGGGCTCAACTGGCGCGGCATAGTAGGAAGGGGGAAAAGTCGAGGGCTATGAATCCTCGAATCAAGAAAGTCGAGGAAAAGACTGTGGTGCTCCCAATCACCAACGTCGGTCTATGTACAAACAAAGGTAGATCCGCGAACCCGCTCTGTTCCTGCGAGCACCGTAAGTGGCGGCTCCATCTACAAAGTCTGGATGCCTAAGAAGGCATCCCACAGTCAGGGTTGGGCAGATCATTGTTGAAATACAACACAAAGAACTAGAATTTCCGTGACTGCTCAATTTGGAACTGGGTTCCACAACCTCAGTTGACCACAGCACCTCGCTGACCTACCTTAAGAGCTGTCTCCGCAATTGTGCGTCGTGTTCGTACTTGGACGTATGAAAGGATGCGCTAAATGAAACTTACGGACAAAATCAACTTTTCGTTCCGAGACCCTTGAGACGCGCAGCCTTACCTCTCGCCGCTCCAATGGCCATTTTGAGCCGGGTCGCCCATGCGATGTAGCCCGCAGATGCAAGTGAGCCTGGCAACACAGCAACAATCGTCAATTCTTTCGTTGTAACCCAGTATCATCCTGAGCACTTCCGCTTGACAAGCGTCCACTGGAAGGGATACGGGACTGCATCCGACGCGATCTGCCTGCGCTCAATAGTCTGAAAGCAGCCTGCGCATCATTGCGCGCCGCTTTCCCACGGTCATCATGAGCGGCGCCAAATCCGTTGACCACCCGCTCGAGCTGATGCATAATTAAAGGTGTCGGGCAGCTTGCTTGTAGGTAAACAGCTAACAGACACGAATGGGGCGAAGTCTTCCTGGTCATAGTCAGACTTCCGGGGCCAAGACTTCGATGAGGCAATGAACAGCGCGGGTTGGGAACCCGTACGGTTAGCCGGTGGCTAAAGCAAAGTGAATACGTCCTTGCAGCAGGGAGTCGAAAAGGGTTATGAAGAAATGTTTCCTCACCCCACAAATGATCTCGGATGGTTCCGTTGTCCATGTACTCGTAGACCAAGCATCGTTCGCCCCCGGAGTCGCAAAACCCAATCAGCTGTACCTGGATGAGCCAGAAACGCGGGAAGTGAAAACTTGACTCGCTCTCGTAGTTTACCGATGCCTCGATTACGATGGCCCCCTTTCTTATGGGCGACAGAAGCTCGCCCCATATGTTAGCTTAACAAGTAGACCGTTGCAAAAGTCAGTAGCACGGCTGACGGCAGATAGACGGAAGCGAACGGCTAATCAAAGCACATGTTGGAGTGAGCAACCATGGTTTGAATAGCAGGCTTCGTTGCTCTGGAGCGGATATATGCGGCTACAGGAGCCAGATGCATTTGGAGCAGAGTCTACGAAATGAGCTGAACGATTGAGAATCATAACCACAGGCAGAGATGCATTTACCAGAGGACCCAACCTCAACATTCGAATGGAGACAAGCTCACGGAGAAAGGGCGGATGTGGGGTTGTTTCTCGAGTGAATCATGAGCTGACTTTCAGCCATTAGCAAGGGGTTGGGTTCTTCATCTTGAACCCTGACTTTGCAAGGACACGAGACGGGAGAGAGGCCGCGCGAAAATTCAAACGAGCCGCTTTTCAGGGAAAGGAAAGAGATGAATGGTTCGAAAAATGACGCACCAAGTTCTGCCAGTCTTAAGAATCTTGGCGGCCATTCCTAATACTGTAAAGAAAGGCGATCCAAGGGCGTGCAACGCTTTCGTCGTGCTTACCAGGTGCTTATGCCGTAGCCGCGACATGGCCGCAATCTCTTGCAAGAACTCCCGCTCTCCCCGGCTCGTATTCGGATGCCCCCGTTTGATTGCGACCAGCTGCGGGAGAGAAAAGGGGTGACCTTATCTTTGATAGGGTGCCCATAGCTTTGTGCAAACCTGTGAATGCCGGGAATCTATTTTCACTTGACTCAAAGTAGGTAGTATGATTGTATGGATCAATGCAGAATACTAAAAGGTAGAGGATATCAGAATAATTCAATTCCCCAACTTTGATTTGGTACTCCTCCTATCTCCGATTTGGAAAGTCCGGAGTAGCTCAACATGTATGGCTTTCGAACAGCAGATTCTTTGACTGCAGAAGCTTGCAAAAGCTCTCAGGAAGGAACAAGGCGACGGGAATCAGGCGAACCGGTTTGGGAGTCCAAACCTCGCGTTTCACACTTGTGCGACAGCGTCCCATGTTGTTGAGCTCTCTTGGACGTTTAGAGCTCTCTTGAAGCTTTAGCGACGCTTCAAGGAGGCCAACGTCAGAATGGGGGACAGTCTCGGACTCAATCCGAACCTGAAAGTCCGATGCTTCGTCTGCAGACCCGCCGTAAAGGCACGGAACGAAATAACACGACAAATCGCTAGCGTTCCTCAATTCAAACCAAGAGGATGATTCTCTACTCAACGGCAAAGTCTCTCGACGCGGTTGAAAATACTGTGCCTTTCCAATATGTTGTCTTTCTGCGAAGTAGATGCAAGCAAGTGATTGGTTCACCCACCTGCCGTCCATTCTTCGTATGCAGGTAGCCCTTGTACACGTGGCCGAATCCTCCTTCTCCGATGCAGTGGCTCCTACTCCAGTTGTGGGTTGCTTGCTCAAGCTCCGCCAGACTGCGATAAAAACACATAGGCTCAAAAACAGAAGCCTATTTCGCCTTCGCAACAAAAGCTAGATAAGCGCTCGCGAGAGCCTCAGGATGTTCTGACTCAGAGCACAGCTGTGTTTATTGAAGGACGCCGACTTCGGCCTGCCAAACGTCGCACTGATCGAGTTTCGCAACGGGCTCTACACCTAGCCTGTGTAAGGCCTCCTTCCGCACGCCATATACAGCTCAAAACATACCACCATAGTAACTTTTCCTTGAATGTGACCATAGTGTTACTTGTTCATTCGTTTGAGACTGGAACGTTTCTTACTGGCCCCTTGTACCAGCCCCCCTGCATTGTTATCTCGAGACCCGCTGGTTGATTTGTCGACTATTCACGGGCCAAGCCAATTGCGACGCTTCGATTCGGGTAAGACAAGTCTTTTCCAGCGGGGCGGCATTCCTTTATTTTCTGAACTCTGACAGCTTTGGACCGAGATGGAAAGGAAGAAACGGCTCCCCACTTGCCTGTACTCATCTGCCCCGCTGACGAGACCCCCCGCGCTTGACCGAGACAGGACAATCTCCTTCGTTTCCACCGGCAGCTTCTGCTGCTCGTAATCTGGGAGGAGGTCAGTAAATCAGCGAACGCAGAGAAGAACAGCATTTGAAGGGCACGTCAGTACCACCATTGGTTTACTCCACTTCGCTTCCGAGAAACACCCTCTCCGTTTTGTTGTTCGAAAGGTGTGTCCTTTCATCACTACTACTTATGTAAGAAGCTCAAAGATATGGCGCGCGAGCAGATTTTATGCGGGCCCGTTCCATCCTCTTGGATGGCCACCGATAGGCATTCCGTTATGAGGACAGAGGATTGAAGAAAGAAACGCATCTTATTGCACGTTTCGTTCCAAAGCGCCGATGCTTGTGACTCACCCGGACCAGAGAGGAACAACCGTGCCAAACCCGGTCTGAAATTCATGCATTCATCGGCATTTTGGTCACCTTTTCAGAATAACAAAGAGAACCTCAGTTGACAAAAGAAGAAGAACGAAGCCCACACTTGAAGGGGCTTTTTCCTCACCTGAGAGCTGCCGCTGTCTCTTCCAGCAACAGAACAGAACGCCGCACACCAGAGCCAGAAAGAAGGCGACCCCGCCAGCTGATGCCGCAGCGACCAGTGCAACGTTTGACGATGACGTCATGACGGGGGCCACAGGGATGGGGACGGGGACGGGGGACTGAGTGGAACGAGAGCCCTCCTGGAAGTGGTTATCTGTGGGACAAAGACGATCCATAAGCAGAAAAGGAGGAATTTGCTGTTGAAAGCGATAAACAGTTAAAACTTGAATCCCGAAAACAGATTCTCTGTTGCCTCTATATGACACAGCAAGAGTGACGCTGAGGAGTCCGAGGTACGATCGGACGGTTTCTCTCTCCACAGATTGAGAGCGATTGGAAGCGCTCTAAGCGTTCTCGCTCGACACGTCTTTCCAAAGTGAATTTTTAAATGGAAAGTTAAGAGCTTCTAACTTCAAAGGGCACCAATCCCACGCGAATCTTGTCTCGGCCTCTTCCGGTGCTCACTCTGGTAGTAGCACGTCTTCCCCTGGCACATGCTGAAGAGGACGTCGATCGGCCCCGACAGGTTGTTGTTATGCAGGTCCAGACTGGTCAGGTTCCCCCGCGAGAAGTTGGCAAACGACGCCGGGATGGGCCCGCTCAGCTCGTTGTTGCCCAGGGCCAGCAGCTCCAAACTGCGGGGCGAAGGAAGAGGCAAAAGTCGTTTCCAGCAGATTAAGCAAGGGTTAATTTTAGCGTTTACTGAGAAGGTGAGTATCTACCCGCAGTCTTCTTCACCGTTTGAGAACGCCCCGATCGGTGACGTGGCGGCAGCTGGTGTACATTCTAGCTGGAGCGAAATTGTACCGGCCTGTACAAGCACTGGAGATGCGAGGCTAGATCCTTAACAGTTTTGCGTTTACACATTCACCAACGCGAAAAGAAACGTTTTGGATTCACGACAAAGACGTGCACTCATAGTGGATACCCCTGAGCAACAGACGAAGCAGATCATGAACTGTAGTGACGGGTACTTCACCAGAACTGTTTTGTCGAACATCTGATCGCTGAATAGGAAGAGGTCTAAGACACTTTACCTGAGAAGTTCCCCTAGAGACGGGGGTATAGATCCTGTGAGGCTGTTGTTGGCAAACCCTCTGCAAAGAGACAGTTAACTGCTTTGTCGAAAGGGAGTTACATATATACTCAATCGTTGAGCTGACAGCGAGGACGATCAGCAGATTGTCGAAGGGCAGAATGTAGCGACGCCCAAAAGATGCAAAATAGGAAACGATGGAACCGGCTGTGCGCAAAAGGTGGGCGGAAAGCGATTGTCCGAGATCCTAGCGAGCGAGACTTCTTGCCGGTCATATCTTTCGCCGTTGCGAACAGACGCCTTCGGAAGGTGCATGCTCAAAGCGGAAGCCCTGCGCACATTCCGTGCTTCTGAAAATAACCGCAACAGTCGGTCAACAGGCCGAATTAATCATGACCTGCGGCAACAGGCAGTCGAAGTTTGATCCTTCTATGTTGTCGTCCCTTTTCAAGAACAGAAAAGTTGCCTCTGTCATACCCGCGCGTGGAAAGCTTACATGTACAAAAGATCACGCAGTGGTATCCGGTTGAAGACGTCCGGAACGGGGCCCGTGATGCCCTTCATTTCGGCAATCTCTCTGCACAGGAATGTTGGGAAGCGTCCGGCTATATGTCATAAGTAAGATTCTCGATGCTTGACTCTCCAATGACAACTGCCAGTCGCCGCTCCCTAGATCTCGAATTGGTCTTGGTAGACAACTAATAAGGTTGATGCAGTGACAACGAGAGATTAGACTGCATGATCTCGCTTGCCGAACGGTTATTCGCACCCAAGAAACTGCAGCTGGTGTAGGAAAGATTGCTCAGGAATAACCGTGCATGGACTGTACTCGCAACAAACTCCCTGGTGGCATGGAGCACTTCTTGAATTTGGGGATAACCAACCACTGTTCGTTCCGCTCCGTTCTCAAGGAGATCGGTTGCCCTGAATCTATGAATTCTCCAGCGGCTTCTGACCTTTCCAAAACACGGGATGGGCCCAGCTCTCAATAAAGAGAACCGTCCGATGAGACTACCGCCGTCCGACGCACGCCTCCAAGCGCAGAGCATTAGAGCAGATGACCTCCGGTTCTACGAACACCTAATGATACAAAGAAACGGGGTCGAGCGATGGCTTACATTTGCTGTATGGCCGGCAGGAGGCCAATCTGCGGTGGAATAGAGCCCACGAAGCGGTTGCCCAAGAGATACAGCTGCTGTAACCGGGGCATAGCGCCGATGAGGGGGATGGGGCCCTCAAACTGGTTGTGGTTCAAGTTCCTGAGAGGAAGAGGAATGAAGCATTTGGCAAACAAACGAAGCCACGAAACGGAAATGTGAGATCCAGTCTTCATTAATGGTGCCACGTCCCTCGTCGAACACTTGAAAGAATGGTTGAAACGCACTGCGACTTCGGGGAGTCTTTCTGGGGGTACAGATCCTCGTTGGCACTGCTCTCCAAATATCGACTGTCAAAATTCCAATGGCACATCTTCTGGAAAAAGACGTCGAGGTCTTGCAAAATCGATAGGGCCCAAAGAGCAGATGGACGCACTTGCCGTCATTTAGAGCGAAGAAAACGTGCATTCCTCGTCAAGAGGACCCGACTTGGCACCATAGCTTCGTGCTAGCGTGTTCATGATCCGCCGGATCAAAATGGGTAACCATTCGAAAAAGGGCGCCCTGTTCTCAGCACAAGAAAACCAGTCGCACTTTTCTGTTTTCTCAAATGTCCTCACAATCCCAGTGCTCCTACAAGAAAAGAGAAGTCAAGAATCACGTCGCTTCCCAGCTTACAGGTAAGTCAGGTTCTTCCAATCTTGGACGGCGAACGGCGGCAACGGCCCCGAGAAGGCGTTGTTTTGCATGGCCAGCGCCTTCATGCTGACGAGGCGACTGAACGAGTCCGGGATGGGCCCCGTGAAGTTGTTGTCATTGAAATGCCTGCAGGAAAAGTGAATGCCGTGGTAGAATCAGATAAGCACAAACTTCATAACGTGCAGAAACGGCAAGGTCAACGGCTTTATAACCGCTCCGGTTTTGTAACTCAGAGGGTATGCACAATCAACGCAATTCTAGACGGAAGCCAGGGCAACGAACGAGTTGCAGAGCGATGCATCCAACTGACAAGGGGCCCCCTTGGAGCACTCTAGTTTTCAAATTGCAGGAAACGACCGTTTCTAGATCGAAGAGGTTGCGCCGTGAGCTCGGGTTCTCACATCTCTTTCATTCCGGTGCAATTGCCAAGGGATGCCGGCAGGATTCCAGACAGTCCTGTGTTCAGCGGCAGAATCCTGCAGACGGAAGGATCTCACGATGTGGCCCTTTATGCAGCGGCATAAATGCTTCCTTCCCACCTCAGTTTCCACTCAGTCCCCTCATAGCTTCGTCAAATGTAAAGGGCACAGGAAAGATTATGCAAGAGAAACGAAAACAAGAAACAAAGTGAACACCGGTTCTGAAGCTTCGACAGTATTCCTTAGGACAATCGGGCATGTCGGATTCGAGCGGCTCAGATCCATACGGGTATCAGGCTCTTCCCTGAACGCCGGGTAGATCCAGATCGCAAGACCGATCGAGAGCGCACAGAAGAAACGGATCGGTGGGTCGAAGCAGAGCACTCACAGGTAGGTAAGAGGGAGGCTCCCGAGCCCCTCTGGCAGAGTCCCGCTTAGCGAGTTATTGCCGAGGTCCAGGACTGGAATAACGAAAACAAAAAGAATTACCGAGTCAGCGCCGCCTAAGCTAAGTATCCGCTCCCTTACGTGTGGATTCAACAAAGCGACCTGATTGTCATGTGGGCAATCTTAAAGACGAGTTGAATATCGTGTTCTGGTCAAGCGTCTCATTCTTTTCACGTTTTCCGGGGACCGGTCAACCCAGGATGGTGCAGTGAACAAAGCATCGGATTCCGTGCCATTTCCATCATAACCCCAGATGCTTGGGGATACGAGCTGACGTCATCAGTCCGGATCTCTTACCCTCGGATCACGAATGTTCTAACGTTTGAAAGTAACCTTCATCGACTTACTTTGGAGGCCAGTCAAGTAGAGGACTTCTTGCGGGAACTGGCCGATCAACCGTGGCCACGCGCGCCGGCTTGCACATCTACACAAAGGCAAAAGCTTACTGAAAACGTGCAGCGGAAGACGAGTCGGGTGGTTCAGAGTGTAAGCGACTTTGAGTACTAAGACATAAGACGAAACACAACGGTACCCATGTGGCAAATAGGGGAACTGCAGGAGAACCCCAATATAGGTTCTTGGTTAATCAGTGACAAAAGTGAGAAAAACGCGACTCGATTTTTGACTTAGCCGAAAGTATAGTAGCAGGCGTCTTGGACAGTGATGCGTTTCGACGTTTCAAGATGCAGCATCATGGCGCTCCTATCTGATGGGAGATGGTCAATGGAATAAGATCTGACTGGAGCAATGTAATCGAGCACGCCAACCACTTTCTTGAAGATTTTCGCGTTTCTAAACTTTGTGTCTAGAAGTGTGATTGCAATGTCTGAGAATACGTGACACCTAGCGTTCACATTCTGAAGCCGGCTACATGCATGCCAGCCTTCCTTTGAAGTGGCAAGGGGACTTACACGTCCGCTGGTGTATCCGAGAAGCACTGCCGCGAGAGCGTCAGGTTCGTGACGATGTCACCGTCGCAGGCAACGCCTTCCCAACCAGGGGGGCTGCAAGAAGGAGCGCTTCTTCTTCAAACGACATTTTGGAGCTACTAAAGGAGCACTAGATTATTTAAGTGACGGATGCCTTGAAATCTGATCATGATTTTCATTCCTTCTGTCTGGTGGTACCGCACTTGAAAAGCTCCGGGGTAAGAAACTAAGTGACAACTATTTGATGGGGATCTATAATAGCCCCCAGATTGAAACCATTTTAAAAAGCTGCATGCACACTGTGACTTGCAACTGAGATAGTGACCATATCGGTGGTGGTGGTCGTGCCTTGTCAGTTCCCCCTCTGCTTTGATACATGGAGAGGAATTGAGTCACGTTCCTTTGATGATGCGACAGGGGGCTTTACTAAAGTCCTCCTTCCACTAATTGAGAGAATGTCTACCGCCCCCTTCGTTAACATCGTCTCAGATGCCAACCAGCTCTGTGGACTTTTTCCATCGCAAGTAAGCAGATAAAGTGACGGACTGCATACCTGCAGGGATCAGTTCCAGGCATCCAACTGTCCAACCGGGGGTTCTTCTCAAAGTTGGCCGCAATGGCCATCAAGATATCTGCAACAATACAAAGAAAGTGGTCAAGTTAAGCCCAGAAGCTGGTTTACACTGTCAGGCTCCTAAACCAGACACTATACGCTAAGTACGCACACAAACTATGTGATGATGACTGGTGATGATAAGCGTCTCCTGAGAACCTCAGAATTCAAAGAAGTATTCCTGCGAAAGCTGTGCAACTGCGAGGCGGGAGGGCGGTGCCTTTGACACCATCGAAAGTTTGGACGCTTACAAACATTATAAACTAAGACCAGCTGAGCGAGAGAGCTGCTCGAATCCCCTGAGAAAACTGAAAACTTTGCAACCAGTACCATTTAATGAGCCCATGCCCCACCAGCTTTATAAGGAAAAAGAAACCAATTCTGAACTCAGTGTGTCAAACTGCCCCTTCTTACAGACACTTCTCAATGACGCTGAAAGCTGCCCCTCACCAGCGTTGGAAGCGACCGCTGTTACTTGCACAAGCCACAACGCAATCGCCGCAACGTAGATTATGAGGCCCAGACCACAGGGCAACCTGAAAGGTCTCATTCTACAGTACTTTACAGTGTCACCCATGAAGATGCAGTTTGCTTTAAGGAACGCACACCCTTTTTCCCTGCACCAACGCAGTGGGCGTGCATTCGATAGCTGATGGGAAGCATCGATTAAATGCCGGTGGTGCTTCGTTTGACAAAGTGCTTGTCATATTGCTCAATGCTTGTCTGGGCACCGGTCCGACCAATCCGTGCAGCTACTATACACACAGGAAGTGAGCTGCCCAGTCAAAAGAGCTGTCCTATCATAGTGCGTTTGACGGGTGGTGGGTGCAAATTCCGAAGACAAGAATTTTTTGAGAAGCTGAAGCTCAGTGTGGCGCACCCTGAAAAAATGGAGCATCAATCCATGCAGCAATGCAGAGTGCCAGCACCAGAGCTCTCTCGTCATTGGCCATGCTGCTAGAGCTCCTCTACGTCCACTTTGGCTCGCGATGCCATCCGGCTATGTCGTACATATATCCAGGATATATGATTCAAAGTCAGCTTTGCCGATTCTAATAGCGTACAATTGAAGCTCGAACGTGACCCACCACTTCTGTGACCTGGTGCTTATGGATAAAGATTAATGTAAATATAAATATGTGTCTTTGACTCGGCAAGCCGAGCATGAGGCTCGTGTACCTACCTGAGGCTGTAGCTGGATTCGGAAGGCTGCCAGTGCAGGCATCTTCAGGCATAAAATCATACTTCAGGAAGGACGCATGCAAACCTGTGCTGGTCTAACACTTCAGTCAGGCAACTCACTATCTGGTTCTCTGTGCTTTGCCCTTCTGTTTAACCCATTGAGTAGCCTACGCACGTAGAATTCGAACAATGCCGAAGAAACTGAGTATCAACACGAAAGCGGAAGAAGCGCGAGAGCGCAAGGAGACTCAAAAGAAGGAGAAGTCTTCAAAAGAGCAGAAAGAGAAAGAGGATCAGGTATGGGAGGAGGCTGCCGGCCCAAAGAAAAAGAGCCAGAAGAAAAAGGAGGAAGATGAGGCAAGGAAGGCGGAGGCAGCTGCAAAGAAACTGGAGGCAAAGAAACTGGCCGCCGAGGTATGACCAGGGAATTGATATACTTCCAGATGACAGTGTTTGCGTTTGGATTCTGCTATAGCGAATCGAGTATGATTGCCGCAGCTTTGTAGCTTGAGTGTGACATCAGGTCTTTGATGGGCAGACTTGTTGGACTGGGTTTTATACATTAATTCAGGGGGTGGTGTAATTGTCGCTGACATGGGGTGGTGCAACTGTCTCTGAAATGGTGGTGCGCTCCCTGACGTCGCGTGATGCTGAGTGGCCCATGTCTACTTTTGGGCTGGTAGGGCGACTTTGACCATGATTCTACTTGTAGGGTGTTGAGTAGTCTGGCCGCCTGACGACAGCATTATATCTTGAGGAAACTTTTAGTTGAAGGTCGTCACTTCAGTCGCAACAGACAATAAGGTTGGAAGCATCGCCATCCGAAGCATGCATTACTGATGTTGACTCTTCCAACATGGAACATTAAGTAGTAAGGCCAGCATAACAAGAACTCTTTGTTACTCTGTTGGCAGTGCGTAAAGAGATTGATATCATGCTGCAGGAGGAGAAGGAGGTAGAAAAGTCACTGAAAAAGCCAAACCCGAAGGCGAACCGGGTGGGTGGGGCGGGGCAGAAGATAACTGCGGCTGAGCTTTTACGGCAAAAGGAGCAGGATGCAAAGGAACTGGAAAAGAAAGCGGGGAAGAAGGAGCGCGTTGTGGCGGAATATGAGTACGAGAACCTGGTCAATGAACCGAACTTGAACAAGATAGAGACGGTGGTCGATGCCCGGAATATAGACGAGGCGCTGCAGCAACTAGATTTGGGGGGGCCGTCGGGGACGCCGGATAAGCATCCGGAAAAGCGTTTGAAGGCGGCTTATAAGGTGAGGAGGGGCTTTGTTCTTGTTAGAACGAAGTCTCATCGTAAGATGATGAACACCGTTCTGTTAAAACCCGTCTCCCCTTGCAAGCGGGCGGAGTCAACTCGAGTTGAGAAAGGCGCTGTAGCTGAAAACCAGGCGGCGAATGGCTCCTCACACTCGTACTCAACTGCTTTGGAAGTCGTCTCAATTGCGGCAACGCTCAGCTATGGAAGCGCGGCTGCATTTCAAGCGTGTTATCAGCTTACCCGTTTCTTAAGGTGGCTTTTGGTTTGTGGCTTCTGCTTTTTTTTTTTCGTAGCCGCTGACAAAGTATCGAGGTATGTTACCATAGGCCGGGCATCATGCGGTCTCGAAGTGGAGGCTAACAAGTTGTTCAGTTTCCACTGTGCAAACAATCTATCCTTTTAGGCATGGAAAGCCATAGTCGATCTGAAGGATTTAATGTCTATTTTCCTGTACTTGAAAGTTCACAAATACTCCCAGCATCTGGCTGCGGTTGACCGCTTGATGAAGAGAGGTAAGAAGGACGGCAACATGCACGTCTGCCTCCTCAAGCGCATTTTTCTTCCACTCAGTTCGGGAAACTCTGACTGCAGCCAACCTTGATTGTGTTGCCAAAAACGCGCCTACAGCATATGGTCAATTGTTTGTTGCTCTGGAAACAATGACAAGCGGTTGCTTTTCTTACAGGCTTTCGAAGAAGCAGAACTGCCCCAACTACGAGCGGAGAAGCCAGGTCTTACTCAGTCCCAGTACAAAGAGGCCCTTTGGAAACTATGGAAGAAGAGCCCTGATAATCCGCTCAATCAACAATAGCACGTCAAGGGCAGCGGCTAGCTATGACGCAGTGACGTCGTCTTTCCAAGGCTCAGGTCTTCAAGTTAACGTGGTATGGGCGACCACGTACACATCCAGGCTTGGAAGCAATCGACAGCCTCACTACTTCGTGATCATTGCGTTTTGAAAGGATCATGCATTTTCATGAGAACGTACTTTGAGGGGGCCGTCAAACCGTCTGGTGCCGATGCTTGATTTACTAGGTATACGGCAGTTGGGATTTGGCCACGCAGGGCAGCACATGCCATTTATTTTTCATTATATACATGATTACGTCCATGCAAAAAAATTGTGTAAACACTGAGTGACATTGCAACTGCAATCGTCACGCCGATGGGAGTGACTCGCGCTGGGATCGCGTCACTTTGTACAATACCGTCACTATACGTACCAATTACATGTGCGTCATGCAGCGTTTCAATATCCACTGAGCAATGGCCATTGATCCATGCATTGCGCCATTCTCGCGCCTGGTATGTAGATCTGCAGTCATGTCGCGACCGCCACTGAATGCTCATGCATGATATGCATGTTCCCTTCGACCAATGTGGTGACCGTTCGTTGAATGGCATGGTTAACAGGAGCCCTCAATATCCATGACACTTACAATCTGGTTTCCGAAACCAGATAAAGTTCGTGGAGTTGAGGACGGAGGGTCAAAGAACATCGCCTCCATGATCCAACGTAGAACACGTCAAATTTGCGTACACTCAGAAAGACGGTTGGTTCGAAGCCAGTTCACTAAGACCTCAACATGAATCTTTCATCGACCTGTTAATCTGTCGATAAGCTGCTTCCCTGCCTCAGGAGCCAGGAACCTCGCCTGCAGAGAATGGCAACGCAATATTCGAGGCCCCAAGAAATATATTCAGTGTATAGAAACATGAGACTGCGTTGCCCCGTGATCGACCTAAGGGAATAGGGCGTACAAAAGCTCGGCGACAAGAGGAACACTCCCATTTGGCGTGTGACTCGCCATTGTCCGATGATTGAGGGTCTCGGTGCCTGTGCTTACGCATTCTGTGGTCATAGAAACGCTTGGATTTCCGATCAGCATGGACAGTCGAGATGGCAATACTCTCTTCCCTTGCTCTTGAACGTCTGTGAACGCCTGCCAAGACCTGCGGCTTTGTTCCTTCTCATACTACAGCCTATTAGTTTCCACAGACGAACAAGCTTGACCCCATGCACTAGCTCCGCTTGTCTTCTCTCCACACACGAACAAACAGACAACCACGTGGCTCACCTTGACGAGGTTCCGCTCCGCCTCGCCCTCCTGTTTCTGCTGCTTAAGGAGGAGCCCCTTGGCGAGATACGGCCGGAAGTCGTCCAGATGGTCCGCGATTACCCCGTCGTACACGGACAGAGCGTCAGCAGTTTTGTTCCAAGCCTGATATGCCTTTGCCAGGAGCAGCTCAACCTGTGGAGAGTATATGCATTGTTTAGCCGCATACAGGCATCTGAGCTACCGGACCGCCGGAGGTTTGCCTTAAAGTATCTGTTTTCGGGTCGGTGCGAAAAGTTTGAAACTAAATGCGACCCTAACTGCGAAAAAGCGAAACTTAAAAAATATCTCAAAAATGTGCAATCTACTGATATGCAGGGCAACAAAGCAAAGTTTTGCTTTGCGCGAAATGCAAATAATCTCTCCAAGCGCGAGGCTAAACCTCAAAACGAGCAAACTTGAGATTTCGCACCAACAGGTAGCGAACTCGCTTGGCGGTACAAGACTCAAGATCCTTAGTATGCTGCTCGGAAGTGAGTCGAGTTCTGTCTCAAGAAGAAGAGCTGCTTGGTATCGCTCCGCAATGGCGCGTCTACATCCAATCTGTTGCTTTCGCACCAACCCAGCGAACCCAAATTTTTGTCGGTTTCAGGTCCAAGCCTTCGACGCCAAGTTTCTTCGGAGTTTCCATGTTGACCATTGCACGTGAATGCCCTTTTCTATTAGTTTTCTCCGTCAGGGATTCCTCCTTCTCTGGTCCCCTTTAAAAGCAAAACGCGAACGTCGGCAGAAGTCGCTTGCCTGGACTGGGTCTATTCTCTCCTCCGCATCCGACGCCCCCGCAGAGGTTTCTTTTCCGCTCCGGATCCGCTCGCGAGCGTTCAAGATCTCACCCACCGCTTCGTTTGGACGCTTGTCGTTGACCAGAGCGTCCGCAAGGCCCTTGAGCAGTCCGAGCGACTCCCGCGGGCTGGCCTGCACAGATCAGCAGCTTTTGATCAAGAGAGTCACGGAAAATGTTGATAAGCGCAACCTGATAACACCGACTCGAGGGCTTGAAGTCGGTTGACCAGCTTTCTGTTCAATTGCAACGTACGTTGCTTACAGTTTCGACTCTTACGGAACCCTGGCTTTACGTGACGACCTGTTCCAACAGAACGTGAGGGGTGTTCAGCTCTGACCCAAGGCTTTTCGCGGAGGAAGGCGCCAGAATAAATTGACGGATCACGCGTACTGTTTTTTTCAATGGCCTAGACAGAGATCTCTATCGATCAGACGGCCATTTTGACCTTCACAATCCAGATACACGCATGCGACACAGAAACAGCACGCATACGCGAGGTGATGACTGCTGCACATGCGTGTCAGAAAAGTAAAGCAGTAGCAAGGAGTGGGGGCTCTCAGCACCGGCGAACCCACTCACTCTGATTGCGCGCCGGTACTCGTAGGCGGCCCCCGAGAAGTCTTGTGCGGCGAACTTTACCTCGGCCAACAGTCGCAGCGCTTCGACATCCGACGGCCGAGCCTGAACAGACGACATCCAGATGCAATTTGAGCCGTCCGATCAGAAGCCACACCCGCCGACTCTTAGTCGTAATTCTTCTTTCCAGCAGAGGGCCGCAGAAGGCAAGAGAATGGAAGCCAAATGCTTAAGGTTTGTCCACAAGCCGGCTACGGAAAGAGCGTGCGGATTCAGGCAGGGAGACTGTTGGAAAATGACAGAGGTTTAGGAGACCTGACCTTGACCAACGTGTTCAGATACTCGGCGGCTTTCTTGTACTCCCCCATCTCAGCATAGCTCACGCCTGCGCCCTGCGGAAGAGGGAGAAACGACGGCGATTGTGCGGATGCTCTGCCCATTGTATGAAGATCAAACGAGCGTAATTCAGCTGACATTCCTGGTGACCGCAAGCACTCGACCTCACCCGCTAAGATACCTGACTTCTCGTGTAAGGTCTCAGCGTTCGGAACTACTGAACCAGAAATATACACGCGAGACAGCCACGGAAACAAGTGCTGAGACCACACCAGTGCTCTAGCTGCTGAGACCACCGTGCGTGCTCCTCCCCAGTGTGGACAGAAACGGTGACCTTTGCAGAGCCTTCGACTCTTTTGTTTCCACGGCGTGGTTGCTCACTGAATCTTATTCGCACACGGCTTTCCAGCAGTAACCTCGACCCCTTCCAGATTCTGCCAGTGCTGTTCCCGCGTATGACTGCCTTGGCAAATCAATCAACCTTCAAACACATCAATCTCAGCAGCTGACCTCAAGAGCGGTTGCGTCTTCGGGCTGCTGTCGAAGCGTCGCCTCAAACGACTCCGCTTGCTTCTGCAACAATCGGCAGAAGGAAGAGCGTTAACTAGTCTCCCTCAACTTTCGGGCCTGGCGTTTTTTCCGTGAAACCATGATGACGTCACGACCCCGTCGGATCCAGACGCGGTCAAGCGCAACTTCGTTTTGAACCACAGAAAAGAAGTCGCCACGTTTGACGGCAGAACTCGAGTGGAACCGCAAAGTGGGATGAAAGGCAACAGTACGTGTGGTCGAAGATAATGATTCCAATCAGCCCGCAAAAAAGCATCCGTCCCCTCACAAGCCAACAAGCAAGGGGGCCATTAAAACGGCTTTACTTTGCTGCATCAACTTGACTAGCAAAATTCTGCGGGGTGGGTAAATTCGCACCTGGAGGCGTTCCTTTTCCTCTTTCGGCAACTCCTGCACCTCGGCGCTTGGAGTCTGCTTATCTCGGAACCTGTGCGCGAGGGCGGACGCGGAGGAGTTTACTTGGGAGCCGAACTCGCTTTTGGTTATTTTGTCGATTAAGGCAGACCTCTAGCTATGCTCTCACATCAATCACGCCAAAGAAGGTGGCCTGGGCGGTTGCTTGGATAAGTCTACGAAGAAGGAAGGGTCGAAGAGAGCAGAGAAAACAATGGCATCTACTTGGGACTGTTTCAAGTAGAGTAGGGCGTCGAGAAAGAAACTGCGTAGGCCTCTGCTCACCCAAGGTTCTGGAGGACGAGGTCGCTCAAAGCGAAGCTGCCTAGGAGGATCAGAGCACCAGCGATTGACACAGCCTGCAACAGAGGAGAGCGCGTTGTATCAGTTTCAACTAGGATGAGATCCAACAAGGGCCTCCAAAGATGGATGTGGCCACACTGGCTCAGGGAGAGCCTCGCGCACTTAACTGATCGGAACTCAGATGGCGATAAAGCGAAACGAGGGTTTGACTCAAAAATTCAGACACGAAAATGCTGACAACAGGCATTCTTCTTTACGTTATGCCAGAGCTAATGAGATCAGAAGCGCTTTGCACTACGAATAGCTGAAAGAGGGCTTCTCGTTGAAATCTCAGAAGCCGCAAACGAGATGAAGTCGTACATAAAGCTCAGGCTTTGTCAAGCAGGCTCAAAAAACTATGCTCCGCCCCATGTAATTTCACACAGCTTCCTTTACCTGTACTAGTACACACATGTGTGAGTGTGTGTGTAAGTTTATTTCAAAAGCATACTGTCGCTAAGCATCGGAGGGTTTTTACCTTCACCCATGGCCGGGCTGGCTGCTCGTCCTTTTTCTCAACAGGCGCCTCGTAGTCGATCGGCCCCAGAGTGTTTACTTCCGGCTTTGGTCGTTCCGCCTGGGAGCTGCAAAAAAAGAGGACAGGCATCGACCGTTGAGGATGCTCAATCGACTTTTGACGCTGTCGAACAAGACATGAATCAAGCAGCTTGAGCCCAACGTAGTTCCATGGGCATTGTGGCCGTTGATTGTTCGTTTTCAGAGCGAGAGTCCATGGCACAAAACTTGCTCTAATCGGTCACATTAGGGACTGTTTAGAAATGAGCAACGAGGTCTGCTTATACTTACAGATCTGGAGAGTCGAAAACGTGCACAGTGAGCCTATATGAGATGAGGGAAGGAGGGGCCTCACGCTTTGATCGCTTTCAGGCGCTCATTGAAGGAGCGCTCATCGATATCGGTGGCCAGCCCGCTGGACGACAGCTCTGGCACTTCGCCTGGGGGTTGTATGGGGCTGAAATAAAAAACACAAGATGGTTTTAGCTGAAGGGCAAATGGGTTCCTTCCTTTTCTTTCACGATTCGAAGCTGATGCGAAGGTAATCCGGTAATTAGCCAGAAGTAGTGCGGGGGATCGCCATACAGAGAAGTTCGGATATCTTTTGCGTCTAAACACTGCAGTGACTCTTGGCAGTTTAGCTTGCGGTACTCTGTGCCCTCAAAAAGGATCCATTGCGTCTGCGAATGAGGCCCCAAAAAGGAAAGTTGTCCCTCAGATGCAGAAAGCCAATGCAGTTTGACTACTAACGAGTAGGGTATCACTTGCTTTCGTAACAAAGCCTTTTGTGATATCTCAAGCCCTTGGCCAATTGATTGTCAATTTCAAGAGGGCACGAAATAAACCGAACTTTCATACACAGCTTCACTATTCCCAACAGCTTAAGGATGTATGTTGCTCAACGAAGCCAAAGCCGGTTATCTGTTCAAGCCACTCCCGTTCTTTATTGGAAACAGAGAAACAATTACTTTTAACCAATTTCGTATGTGCACCGATTGGAAGAGGCCAGAAAACTCACTTTCGACTTTGGACATTCTCTGGTGGCCTCCGCCTTGCCCCCCGCTGCAAGGACAGCGTTTTGGAATTTGGCTTTGGGGGGTGATCGACTTTACCCTATCACCCTAACCTTCCGATTGATTCACGTCTGCCTTCGTCAAACAAAAACGTGGCACCTTCTGTAGGATGCCAAGCCTGTTGATTGTCTGAAGCTTAGCAGTGGATCACAGGACCGATGGAAGAGCTTGGCTCAACTTCTAAGACTCGAATTGTGAAGAGCGAATGGCTTAGCCCCTACAAGGAGTCTTCAATGACGGCCAGCTCAGATGGACTGACAGTAGCCCTCTCAACTCCGTTGAAGCCTCAAAAACGTGCGAGTGCGCTGACCAAAGTGGCTCTCAGTTTGTTGATGCATGTAGACTAACAACTGTCTAGAAGAGTGCGATGGCTCCACCATACCTTGCCAGCACGATCTGGTCGCTTGCTTCCCACCCCTCCACCCCCCCCTTGTCCAGCTCTGACCAACACAGGGTTGTGTTCTAACTGTTTTCTGAGCCCCACTCCCCATTGATACCCCTGCAGAAGCAGTGCGACAGTTCTTCATGAGTAACTTGCACCCCGCTCTTAAAAGTTGAGCTTTAGAGTAGTTCAAGTCCAAATTGCACGAATCTGCTTCCATAGGAGCTCGAGCTGGCTGGAGGACCTCAAGAAGCAGAGCATATGGAAGACTCGCATACGACTGAAGGTTTGCCTCGACTGGCAAATCTCAGCATCATCTATGTAGGTTTTTTCCAGGATTCCTGTCTACACATCGTTGAAATCGAGGACAGGGGTAGCTGTCACATTCAATAGATGTTGTACCACCACAAATAGAAACCAACGCTCAGGACTTGCAAAACATGGCCTGGAAACAAGGGGGAAACAAGCTGACAGTGACACTACCAGGCCAATGAGGTCGTCCAGAGCACCAGTCTGGTCCTGTAGGCAATGCCGTGGTACACTTGAAGCAAGCGGCAGCTCTGAATAGACGGCATTGGCAGCTGAAATGCTGACTGCTGAGGGCACCAACTCAAAACATTGCACTGAATGTTTGTGTAATGCCAGCAGCATCCTCACCGTACAATCACCACGCAAACCGTGGTCTTTTCCCTGCAGAAGTCCACCATGCAAAAACTCTGTTTGCCGTGTGGCGTTGCTAGCACGGCAACCGGAGGGCCACGCCAAAGGTTTTCTGCACAGAACGAGGTCGCTGCAGACTTGCATCGTCCCTGCTGTCCTGCTCAATAGTTTTAGAATGCTGCTGTTCCCTTTGGATGCTCAGAAGTGGGGTGAGCCA